AATTCAACAAGCAATCAGATAACATGGAGATTTTCCCATTATTCAAACTTCAGATTGAATTAATTTCTGCGAAAATAATGAGATCGGTCGGCACAATCACAAAATTAACACTGAGCGCGGGGGATTTGGGACTTTTTCGTTGGTAAGTAGATGGTCGAATATGTAGAGAAACACAGTATGCAAAAATGTCTTGATTCTGATATCCTATTGAATAGTGCACGTAGATTTTCGCAAACAATTTCAGACAATTTTAACTTGAATATTGAATATTTTCTGATCATGAACATGGGTGTATCTTTTAGATCCATCTGTCATCTTTACGAAAAGTGGATATAACAATGATTTAGATTATAAGACCTAAGTGATATTAAAGGAGCAATTAATGGACCAATCAACATACTTCTTCAACAATGTTGACCTAATTTCAAAATGCAACCTTTTATTATACTTATTGTTGAATGCATAATTAGAATGTGTTTTGAGACTGTTCTATTTCCTAAAAGGAAAAGTTGATTGCTCCAGGGACTTTGGATGACCAAAATGTACTGAAACCAATGGATAGCATAAGATTTTTCAATGGAGAAATACATGGGGAACATTGATACATCAAAATAAAGAATAGTAATGCATTAAACATTGTAAAAAAATGATTGCATTTTTGGTGAAAATGAGGTTAACATCTTTGAAAAAGTGTGTTGATGGGTTGATTGCTAGTTAAATATTTCCAAGTCCATTTGACTTTATTATTATTGCATATAATTTTCTTTGAGATAGTGAATGGATCTTAAAGATATACCTGTTTTCATGGTCAGAAAATAGTCTTAATCCAAGATATAACTGTCTGAAATTGTTTGCGATAACGTACGTGAACGTATATAACGTATTTGAGTAATGCCTGGATAGGGAAAGGATCAAACTTGGCAAAATCAAGCAGGTTGGCATTTTAAGTTTTAAATTGATAGATTCCCCTTATTCTACATGTTTAAGAACTACATTAGACATGTTAATATTTTCATAACAGTCTTACAAAAATGATTCAATGAAGCCTATCTATGAATCTATGTTTAAAACAAGTAGGAAAAATGGACGAGGGAAGGCATGAAAACAATAATATAACTTTTAACTGTTTATTATTAATACATCAGGGCAATTGATTACTTTATCTAGTAATAAATTATATTTTCTCATAGAAAAGCATGTATGCCTCAGATTCCATGACCTCCTGTAATGTGACTCTCTTTACCATGCTATCAGAAGTGTACAACCATTTGTGGCTATATTCCCCCGGCGCTCTCCTGTATGTTATGAAATGTCCTGACTCCACACCACCTAGGTGCACTACCACGGAAACCAACTTATACATGTCACTATGGTTACTGTTGCCAGGGTAACTGTTTATCTGGTTGCCATTAGTGAGATTGTGACTAGATTGACTAGGGATGTCCAATTCTTTGGGTCTCAAGGGACCTCTTGTGAGTGGCGGATCTGTTAATGACGGTCGGAGATAACTCGAAGGAACTTGACGCTGCTTTTTAGGAGTGCTTGGAACCCTGAAATCAAAATATGTGCATGTATATATACAGAATACACATGTTTATATTACAAAAATTTTCATGATATTTGCATCACGTTCCATATAGTGTATATATATGGCAGCATGCTTAGGGCCAATCAGAAAACATTTTCTATGAACATGTGTAAGAATATTTATGTAATAGTCACTATGTTTATATAAATAGCCTACATTTAATAAAGTGACTTAATTACCTATGCTTCCTGGTCATCTCAACCCCAAGTCAAGTCAACCCAGTAAAACTCAACCCCAAGTCAACTCAACCCCAAGTCAAGTCAACCCCAGTAAAACTCAACCCCAAGTCAACTCAACCCTGTAAAACTCAACCCCAGTAAAACTCAACCCCTATATTTCTATATATTGATAAACTTATAAGAAAGTTTATTTCATAAAAATAATTCCGATTATTAAGTTTGTGATTTTCAATCTTAGACCACTGCCTTTTTAGATTATAGTTAATAACACTGTGTAATAATGAGATCTCGAAAATGTCAACATGGTACGAATAGGATTAAAATATGGGTCATTTTATTAATCTTGCTAATACATTTGTTTTGTTGTAATTCCTATGAGGTTGACACTCGTGATTATTTTGAAAACTGGAACATGTCCATTGCTTTCCAGGGGCATAGCCAGCTTTCAGTCAAGAGCGATGCGATCGCTTGCCCCAAAAATCAGGTTTCGGGTTTTCCTGGCTACACCTGTATGCTTTCAGTCTATTAATTAGTAAATTTTAATGATTTTGTTAACGCATGTTCATATAAATAAAAAGTTATATTTCATTGTTTATTATTTCTAAATTATCTAAAATTTGATTTCAAAAGATGTCTTAAATTAAATAATAGTGACAACTTGATGAATTATCCTTTAGCTTAACCGTTTTTTTAATACTTTTACAACTTTCAATTCAAAGTATCATGCAAAAAGCTAGATTTTCAGAAATGAATGACTTAAATTATTCATCATAAAAAATTAAATTAGACATTGCACAAATGAATGGGGTTGAGTTTTACAGGGTTGAGTTGACTTGGGGTTGAGTTTTACTGGGGTTGACTTGACTTGGGGTTGAGTTGACTTGGGGTTGAGTTGGACTGGGTTGAGATGACTTGGGGTTGAGATGACCTGCCACCATTACCTATTGGGATCTGAGTTATTGACTTAAGAATTCTTAAAATGAAATTTTCTGTTCATTGATCCATCAATAAGATGACACTTTCTCCATACATTTATTACATATTATTTGTTCCACTTACACAAGGTCCTGTTTCACCTCCTGCCCACCGACAAGCCTACTAGAGACCTCTTGTGGCCGTAAAGCTTGCTTGTGGTATACATAATTATCCATGATGAGAATCTCAGGGAATTTAACAATGTCAAACTTTTTCATGTTGCTCCCATTGTTCAGCCAGACTGTCCTCTGTATGTGCAGACACAGACTTCTGGGTAGCTACAAGAATAATATGTGACGGGATATATTTAAAAAATTTGTCCAGGTTCTCCTAATATTAAGAACTGAACAAGGCCACACAGTTAATTACATACAATAGCATTTTTTAAACGCTTTCGAAATTTTTTCTTTTCACTATGTTCATGTATCAACAGGATCACTGACCTTACTTATTGTCATTCTTTTGGCAAATGTAGTTTTAGGGGCAGGGCTCCCTGGGGGTGATTTGTTAATTGCTTGTTGTATTTTGGCACAACCTTCACAGCTCACACTTTGCACTGTCTCTGATGTTATATAGTCCCTTAGTAATCTGTCTAGGGTCAGCACTCCCTACAACAAGCATGTGTTTAGCTTAAGTAATCCATTTATAGTCAGCATTCCACAATAAACACATATTCGCCACTCCCTACAACAAGCACATGTTTAGCTTAAATTATTCCATTTATAGTCAGCATTAAACACATATTCGCCACTCCCTACAACAAGCACATGTTTAGCTTAAATTAATCCATTTGTAGTCAGCATTAAACACATATTCGCCACTCCCTACAACAAGCACATGTTTAGCTTAAATTATTCCATTTATAGTCAGCATTAAACACATATTCGCCACTCCCTACAACAAGCACATGTTTAGCTTAAATTAATCCATTTGTAGTCAGCATTAAACACATATTCGCCACTCCCTACAACAAGCACATGTTTAGCTTAAATTATTCCATTTATAGTCAGCATTAAACACATATTCGCCACTCCCTACAACAAGCATATGTTTAGCTTAAAGGGGTATTCCTTGCCAGACCATCTCTCTCCTAATATGGTAGCTATAACCATATACATACTTTGCAAGTTTATCAAAAAACAGAAAAATGTTTCGAAATGGTCAATATTGATCACTTAAAAATGTAGTGCTCAATTCCAGTAGGCTGCCATCTTTTAAAATTTCACTCAGGAAGTGATGTCATCGACTCTCAACTTTGCATATAACATTAGGTTACATTAAGGAGCTATTATAATTACTAAACCAGCTGAATATTTTTTTCAATTTGGTCTATGATTAAAATCCTTTTGATGATCCCTTCTTCAGTTCTAAGTTGACAGCTCCTGAAAATATTTTTACACAGAAGATAAGGGCTTCTTGTTTAGAAGTGATTTTGTACTTCTTTCCTATACTGTAATAGACAAGGTTATAACAGGTGAGAGTCGATGACATCACTTCCTGAAAGAAATCTGAAAAGATGGCAGCTTACTGGGAATGAGTACTACATTTTTAAATGATCAATATTGACCATATGAAAAAAATTTCCCGTGTTTTGCTAAATATGTAAAGTATATATATGATTGTAGCTACCATATCAGGAGAGAAATAGTCTGGCAAGGAATGTTCCTTTAAGTAATTCATTTATAGTCAGCATTCCACAATAAACACATATTCCCACTCCCTACAACAATCACACGTTTAGCACTCATACAACAAACACTGGTTAAAGTTTATTCAATCTACCACAGGACAATATTGGGAAATCATGATTATCCCTACTGACTAGGATCAGCACTCCCTGCAACTAATTGTTTAGCTTAGGTTATCTGTCTATGATTATCGTGATCATTCATACCTCCTATTTGTATTTATAGATGAGATTATAAAATATGATTTCTATCCACTTACCAGTGTGTGATCAGGAAGGGATAGAGAGAGACTGTCAAACGTATCATGCTTTACAGGATTCTGAAAGTAATAAAATAGGCTATATGGTAGGTGATCTAGCATCGGTAAAACTGTACAGCATCAGCATGCAATCATACATTCACTGTGTTTGAGAAAGGTCAATGTACAAATAGAGACCTGATGCCAATTATGGGCACACATATCAACTATAATCATTCTCCATTTTAACCATTAATTAAAATATTAAAATGCATTAGTTTGAATCGGTAAGAAGTCTCACTTTATATCCACATAATTTGCAACTGAGTTGACAAGCTAGGAGTCCTCTGAATGGCAAGTTGTTAGATTGTCTCTCAGGGAGACTTGGCAGTTCACTGTTTATCTTGCTCTTGAAATCTGTATGGTTCAAATATTGGCCTTTCTGGAATAAAAATATTTTTTCCATAATTTATAAATTCGAATACATTAAAACCTGTTTAAGTGGAACAACTTTGGTATCTCTAAAAGGTTTTACACTTGGGAGGTATTCCACACATAGATGTTCATTTAACATTAAGTCAGATAGTCTTCTAGTGCTCCACTAACAGATGTGTTCCACTTTACTGGTTTAATTGCAGGCTAAAATTGTAAAAGTGACTTCTTAATGAAACAATATTAATCGTGTATATCATTTGTCTTTGATACAATTAGATTCATGTTGCCAATTACATGAATTAGTAATACTGTAAATTCTAAGCAACTTATTCATAGTTACCTGTAGATCTAATACTTCTAATAGAGATAATACAGCTGGGAATCTGCTAGTTTCCTCATCCAAACTTTCGGTGAGCACATGGAACAGCTCGTGGGCATCCTAAACACAAACATTTTAATCATAAAGCATCTAATCTTATAATGTTAAATGAGCTTATAAGCCTTTTGAAGATTATCGACATAGATATAATCGGATCATTTAACAATCAACAGTTCTCTGTAGGAAGATATTTTAATTTTTTAGGTGTTATACCATGATAAGCTTGTGTTACAGGTATGAGTTTCAACTGAATAATTTAGCATTGATTTAAAGATGTTAAACTAAATGATATTTTTCAAGTGATGGATCATTTGTCTACAAGTTGTATTCACATTGAAGTATTGTTACCTGCTCATCTTGTGAAATAACCCATCTTCTTGATCTCAATGCATCCGTCACCTCATATGGTGTTACATCATCAGTTAATGCAGTCCCTTCATTATTCAAATCTACAAATGTTTCAGAACAAACTCCATTAAAGATTCATTAAGGTTATTTATATGTATGAATTTTATGTCATTGTGGAAATAACAATATGCTTGTAGCAACTATATGGAGGTGAAGTTACTTTATCCTTTACAAGTATGAAAAAATGACTCGAATAATGTTAACGACAGAAGACTCAATCCCACTTTTGAAGATTTAATAGTTGAGAGCACAGAGAGAAAACTAGTTCCTCTACATCTCAAAGATTTATCACAAAGTTGAGAAAGTTATTCAAAATTTAGAGGGTTACGTTTTGGGGTCACCCCATACCAAACCATAATACAATATCATACCATACCATACCATACTATATCATACCATACCATACTATGTCATAAGCACTACTTATTCTTTTCTTATTCCAACATTCAAAATTAAATTATTTCAATACAAACCTTTCAAAACTTTAACCAAGGTGTAAGCAAGGAAGTCAGAATAATTCTGGTGAATATGTTGTTCCACAAAGTCACCAAGCCAATGCATAATGCTCTTACAGGGGGCCAGTGCTTGCAGTACAGCATTCAGGAAACATGTGTTACCCAAGTTTGTTAACCCAGGACAGGTATCTGAAAATTAAGAAATCAAATTTCATTTTATTTTCTTACTGACTTATAGCCCTTATCAAGGAGGCAATTAATTGAATCTATTAGAGATCCATTCAAAACTCACTTGGAGAGTTAGGCACACATTTTGTGATTTTTGGCTAAAATAGACACAGTGTTTGTTTGTGTTTTATTACTTTTTCTCTCATGATTTTCTGATTGGAAACAAAATATTTTGTATTGAACATAAGACAACTTTGTCTTCTCTGCTTTCAGTTTCTAATAAAGCTCTAAATTTATCGAGCCAATCAGAGTTCGGTGTAAAAAGCTTTATATACATGGTCATTTCCTGTGACGTTATCGCATACTTTATAAACACTTGGCATGTGTTCTTTCAAGCTCACCGTTTGGTTGAGAAAGGGTCAGCTGTTAAACTATATATCTGCTTTAAATGGGCTTATTAGCCTTTTGCGGATTATTGATATAAATGTATTGTAGATGTAGGTTTGAAATCATTTATGACCGGGGTGTCATGGGCACCTGTCAACAACATACATGTAAGACCTAGCTTGGGGACTTGTTTCTTATCTGACATGTCTAATGGGGCTGCTATAAATAAATATATAGTGTATACTAATTAGGCAGGGGTACTTCATAACTATAACTAGACTCTGCGGATAAATGAATGATGGCGCAGAACAATTTCATCCAACAAAAATATTACCTTTTCTCCTCGGTGTTCTCCTGGAGTCCCCTGGTCCCCAGAGGACATAAACACCCGCGACAACAGCAGCAGCAACACCACCTAACACCTTTAACGTGTTACAATCCATGATAGAAGCTCTATGGAGTCTCTAGCGCATCGTTTATTATGAATTTAAAATATGAAATTATATTCCGGAAGTCCAGTGGGAATGGTCTATTCCTCGACTTCCGGGGGTGTGAATTATCATAATATTTGAAGTATTAATATCTGTCATCCGAAGACCAGTAGATTTTGATGTTTTTGATCCATTCTATTGTTTATAATTGTAATTTATGTAGCTATGGAAACTGCACATTTGTGCTCCTTGGTTGTATGATGTTTAATCACATCCTTTCTACCCTTCTGGATTTGAGATGGAATATTCCAAAGATGGCAGATGACACTTCCGGAATAAAAATTAAGGTGAATATTTACACTTTTTTCTCATTTTGCTAAGGTATTATGAACGTAACTGAACCAATGGTACGTTGTTAAGTTGTTGCTTCGATTCCTTTCCCTACTGCACATATGAAAATTAGAAATATATTTTGAATCTAGAGCAAACATGTTTTCAAAATTTCCAATTTCAACTTGTTTGTTGATCATTTTTTGTTTTTGATTTTCTGTTTTCTTTGGATCATGCGGAAATACTATTCTGCCGTCAACTGAAAACGTTTCTGTAAAATACTGAAGCTGCCTGTCAAGACAGTGTGCCTGTCACCCAACCAGCATAGGTTTGAAAATGTTGTCCTCATCCTAGAATTCTTTTCTTCTTCTTCTTCTTCCTTTGGGTTTCTGTGTCTGAAACCATTGGCACTGTAATGCTGCCTTTAGACACTTGCTACAGTTTGTCACTTGTATTAAAATTATTGTCACTGGTGCTTTTCACTTATACTTTGTTTATTTTTTGGAGAGAGAGCGCTATTAATTTTGAGGTGTTAGGAGTTTTGAAACTTATTTTGAAATCGTAAGATGATTGAGCTTGCATCATCTATGACCAAAAACAGAGTCACTGTCTAATTTTGTTAAAATCTCTTTGTCGAGGCTAAAAAAGCCTGGAATCTCTGTAGAATTCTGGTGTTGATTTCAATGTCGATGTCTTTATCTAGGCCAGTGAGTGTTTTTATGTTGATGCATGGAGTATACTTGGCCCCTAGAAGCAGAGTGTTTACTTCAGCCATCAGTTGTTCCCTCTGTATCTCAAATCTGGAACAGTCAAAGACATAATGTTTTATAGTCTCAGGGATGTTGCATTGGGGACAGTTAGGAGAGTCTACATTTGGGTTGATCTTATTCTGATGGTTGTTAAGCTTGGTATGACCTGATATGATCTGATTTATCACAGTGCGGGATTTTCTATTACCACTAGCTAGAATGGGCTTTTTATCTTGGACCTTGGTGATACTTGATTGCACATGACTGACCTTGGCAGAATTATTATATCTTCTCTGCCATATTGATAGTGAATTGTCTTTAATATATTTATATGCAGCTGATTTGGTTGTCTTAGCTGCTTTGAGTTTGTTTGACTCTTTTGCTGCTTTCTTTGCTGATTTATCTGCCAGTTCGTTTCCTGTTATCCCAAGATGACCCGGAACCCAGTGGATATTGATGGTTTTGCCCTGGCTGGAGAGTATTTTGCATTTCTCTCTGATAATCAGAATGTCCTTATTAAGTGTTCTTAGTTTAGTGGCAATAAATGCTGATGTTACCGCAGGTTGACAGTCACTTAATATGATGATATTGTTGTTAGTCTTATTGGTGAAAAGGAATTCCGTTGCCAATCTTAGAGCGAGAATCTCAGCCTGGTAGTTGTTTCCTTTTAGTGTCCCTGGTTTACCCAAACAGATCGGAGTACAAGATAGGCCATTAATGTAAATTATAGCCGCAGCTCCAGTTGGTCCTGGATTACCTTGCGCCGATCCATCTGTGAAAACAATAGTATCATGAATAGTTGTATTGCCTAGGAGTGTTTCTACTTTTTCGCATTGAGTTGACTTAGTGTTCTTGAACTCCTCCTGGTGAACTGTTACATCAGATGGTAAAAAGGTTTCAGTTTCAGGGGAATGATACATGTGGTTGTCATACATGTGTGGGTCTGTTGGACATTTGAATCTTCTAAGTGTAGACTCAAGTAGGTTGAAGGCTGTTGTTGTTTTTTCTGTGGTTTTGGAATCCTTCCAGAGGTTAAAATCTTCTGTGATAGGATCATTGTTGTTATTGGTCAGCATTCTCACAGCTTCCTGACATTGTCTAGTTTGAATTAGAATGTCGACAGGAAGTGTGCCTGTGATTACTTCCAGAGTGTCAGAGCTGGTGGTGTTGATACAGCCTGAAGCTCTAAGAAGTGCTGATCGCTGGACTTGGGAGAACAATGTTTCTGCTTTATTTGTGTTAGTGATTGCAGCTGTAATTCCAGTCTCGAAGTGTGGCACAACCAGAGATTTATATAACATCATGAAGACTTCCTCACTGCAGCCTTTTGTGCTGTTTGTGAAGTTGCTGATTCCAGTGAGGGCGCCAAAAGCTTTTTTCTGTTTATACTGTAAGTGGGGTATAAATGAGAGTTTGTTATCAATGATTGTGCCAAGAATTTTCTTTTGTTCACATATTTGGAGAGGCTTGTCGTTTAACTTGATTGTGATGTGCTGGGGGGAGGTTCCTGGGGGACTGAAAACTATTATCTCTGTTTTCTCAGGAGCAATCTCCATGTTCCATTGCCCGCACCAGTCACCTGCTACCCTCTGGATATCTTTTGTCAGTTTAGCTTGTACCTCTGTGACGTTTCTGCCTGTGGCCCATAATATATTATCGTCAGCGAAGCAGGCATAATTAGATGTTACCTTTTCCATGGAGTCTGTAGTGTAGAGATTGCACAGGAGTGGAGACAGGACAGCCCCTTGAGGTATACCTACCACTGATGTAATTAGTGGCGTGGTGTGACTATTGGCTGTGATAGAGAATCTACGGTTCTCTAAGTACTCATTGATGTAAACCAGTAGTCTACCCTTGATACCTATTTGGAACATTTTGAATATTAGTCCCTGCCTCCAGATCCATTCAAAACAACTCTCGTAATCCAATATGGCCGCCAAAACCGTCTCTCCCCTGTTCCAAGCAGATTGAATGGACTGGACAAACCTTATAACTGTTTGTGAACAACTCCTATGTTCACGAAAGGCGTCCTGGTACCTGGATAGGGACATCATGGTTTCAGTCAGCCACACTAGTCTGGGAGCGACAGTCCGTTGTAAGATCTTCCCGATAATGGACTCAAGTGTGATTGGCCTGTAGGATCTGTCGGAGTTGTAGTCTACTTTGTTTGGCTTATTAAGCATTGTCTTTGGGTCAATTTTGAACTCATCTGGGAGAGTTCCAGTCTCCCAACATTTCTGGCTGAGGCGCCATATTGCTTTGTGTAGATGAGTTCCTCCATTCTTTATAACTGAAGTTAGTATTTTTTCCCTCGGGCTTGGTGCAGAAATGCTGTTGGAGTTGGCTATGGCATTTCTTACTTCAGTGAACTGTATGTCTCTGTTTTCTGGTTCACAGAACTTGGTATAATCATTCTTACTGATGTTAGCCTTTTCTTTCGAGATGATATTATCAGTTTCGCTTTTTATGTAGTTGTACCAAGTAGTGTTATCTTGCACAGCGAGGATTTGTTTGCCGTATTGGTGTACCATAGCTTCTGCTATGTCTTTATCTTCGTGTGCTATTCCATTGTCTGTTTTTATAGGTTGTACGATTTTCTTGTTCTTTTTATTGTTGGTTTTAGAAATGGTTGACCAAATTTTATCTGGGTATTTTACATCAAGCTGTCCAAAGAGATCATCCCAGTAGCTTTGTTCACATTCTTGCACATATGAGTTGAACTCCTCGGCCAGCCTGGTGTAAACTTCCCAATTATTAGGATCACTTCTCATATTATATTTTCTCTTGGCTTTTCTGAGTTCTTTTACCTTTTTACTTAGTTCTGGATTCCACCATCCTCTGCTTTTACTGCAAACTTGTTTGATTTTGATCTGCTCCTCGGTTGTTTTGTGTATTGCAGCACAGAGGTCAGAATAGCATGTATTCACGTCTTGGTTTATGATAGTATCTGAAAACCAATTTTTAAGATTTGACTCACATGCACATTCGAATTTATTCCAATCTACATTCTTAAGGTCGAGGTAGTTACGTGTTTCCTCCTTGCTAGACTGACCCATGGAGAAGGAGATTAGTTTGTGATCTGACTTGAGATAGATCTCCTCCTCCACCCGCCACTCAGACAATTTGGAAACAAGTGAACCCGAACCCAAAGTGAGAATTCTCCAGTCATCTCAATTATCCATTCAAATACATGTACATGGGGTTTGTAGAAAAACCGGGTACCGGGTAGTAAATCCTCCATGCTGGGTTCAAACTTGGTACCTGGTACCCGGTCGAAAAAACCGGGTACCCAAAAAACGAAAAATACGATTATATAACATATTTAGATCATTAGAAAATGTGTAAGATTTGTTTTGGATATACAAAAATGTATGTAACTTCCTTCAAAATTGAGCTAGAAGCTTCAAATAAAAAGCATTTTAAGGTTCTTTTCTTCCTCTATCATCATGGTCATATTTTCATAGGTTATGGGGTGGGGTGCGATCGCCTATGACATTGTAAGACGTAACAATTTACACTTCAGTGGACGTTTCGTCGAAAATTGGGATAACTTAAATTATGATTAATAATCAAAATCTTACACGTTGCATCATGTAAATTAACACACGTCACCTCTCTGCTCAAGTAACGATAGCTATTTACAGATTTAAATCATAATCAAAACTGTTCACGTACCAACATACGAACTATTGAAATAACGCAGATGCGAGTAGGTAGTTCCCAGTTCCACCACCAGGTGGTTCGTTCGGGTCAGATAGCATGGCAGGTATAGAAGAAAGTTCCCTTTAACTTAAATTACATTTGTTTTAGTGGTTCAATTTTCATATAACCCTTATGTATCTAATAGTTATGCAAATTGAAATATGTCCAGTAAAAGAAAATGATATCTGTCCAATACAAGAAAAGATTTTTCACTTTTTGTGATTTTGTAACATGGGGTCTATGGGGAATCAACCCGAACAAGAAGTCACATTTTCAAAAAAAATTAAATTTTCAAAGTTGATAAACAACTTTTGAAACCATATTTTTAAATGTACTTTTACATGTAGATTTCAAATATGACATCACTTTGACTGAATTTTGAATATTTAATGACGTAAATCAAGATTATTTCTACTCGCATCTAGTCTATTAGAGGTGACGAAAAATTTTGAACGGAATGCGTGACATATACGTGATTCGCGTGAAAAGTCCGAACGGATTGCGTACGTTTTTTTGGTGTTCGTATTTTTGCTGTATCGGCGAACTGTTTTAGAATTTTTTCTACAGAAATATTTTTGCTTGACAATTACCAGGTAAAATGCGTATTTGCGTGACATTTTCTGGCGTGACTTCAAATTCTTCAGCAAATGCGTGACAAATACGCAAATTGCGGGACAGTTGACAGGCCTAATAACCGATGAAAATATGAGCATGATGATAGAGGAAGAAAAGAGCCTTAAAATGCTTTTTATTTGAAGCTTCTGGCGCAATTTTGAGGGAAGTTACATACATTTTTGTATATTCAAAACAAATCTTACACGTTTTCTAATGATCTAATTATGTTGTATATTCGTATTTTTCGTTTTTTGGATACCCGGTTTTTTGACCGGGTACCAAGTATGAACCCAGCATGGAGGATTTACTACCCGGTACCCGGTACCTGGTTTTTTCTACAAACCCCATGTACAAGTGCTGTCAAAATTTCACGTGGCCAGTCTAGTTACAACTTATTTTGTCTTCGCACGTCTAGTTTAGAGATAACAACTCGACTCTTGTCACTGTCTGCCCTCATAATGTAATTATAAAATTGATGGTAAGGCTTGCAGTATTTTTATACATGTCAGGGGTTTCACTCGTAGCAGGCAACAGGCAATTTTCATCTGTTGTTTTCACAAAACTACCTGTTGTTTTTAGGGACTTTTCAACTTTTACATGTTAAATGTATCATGTTTCCATTAATTTTACCTGTTGTTTTCATTTATTTAGCCTGTTATGAGAAATTCTAGTGAAACCCCTGCATGAACTGTATGTTTTCATCTTTGTTTCAGACTCATACAATTGAGTTAGACTATAATGTAGCCTGGGGACAGAAACTTGGAACTGGCATCAGTGGTCCAGTAAGGTAAGTTGTTTTTGCACTTTTGAGCTCAGGGATATGTGTTAAGTATTTTTGCTCAAAAAGGTGTCGTTTTATTTGGTAGACTGTGGATGTACATGTATCATAGTATATCCTGGCATCTACCAATATGCTCATCATGTTCCCCATATTTTGGGGAAACATTCCCTTGTTAGTAATTGACAGCCACCCATTTAGTTTTTCTAAAATGTGGGGCTAACCAAAGAAATATTTTAATTTTGAACATAAATTCTGTGCTTAATGCCACATTATTGAAAGTCTAGAGCTTTGGGTGTCAATTTGTGACCATTGATTGTTTCCCCGATGTTTTGGGAATGTGATGGGCCTATTTGCAGGTGAAGAAGCATTGAAAATACATTCACAGATGGCAATATAGAACAACACCTTCCCAATTTTTGAATAAAGATTGTGATTTTTGTAATGCATTTCCTGTGTACTCCATGAAATACATACTCTACACGTTTCCACCCTCTGGAGCTGCCAAGTTCAGTCATGAATATCTTTACTGAAAGGGATTTTTCAAAATGTGTGACATTTTTCTTTTTTCTAATAAGATCTTCTTTTTCACAAATTTACATCAAAAGTTTCATCTACACTGTCAATAATTCTGAAAAGGGGAATATTGTTGAAATTTGATAATGCTAAAACCATATTCATCCTTGTTATTTTCCCAGAGGGATAAATCATGCCATGATTTTCAGCCTTTGATGATTCCACTCTTGTACGATATATTCACACATTCATTTATAATGCTCGTGTAAAACCTGATAGTCAAGTTTGTTTGTTGTAGACCCTGTACATGCAAGAAGACTGGCCAAAGATTTGCACTGAAATGCCTATTGGACCGCAGCAAAGCACGTACAGAGGTACGCCTGCATGTAAAATGTAGCGGACATCCTAACATTGTGACCATCTACAATGTCTATGCTAATGATGTGCAGTTTCCCGGGGAGGCACAACCAAAGTGAGTAGACCAAATTACGTTTAAGTAAATTTTTAGGTGTTAGATTGAAAGACCTTCAAAAATGTTAAATACAGGTGGGTGTTATTTTAAAGCTTTTAACATTTAGTTGCTTGAAATAAGCAATATTTTTAACAAAGTAAAAATAACATGATAGAATTAAGCTTAGTTTACTACTCCTTGTTTTCCACTTGTCAGGGCTAGGTTGCTAGTGGTGATGGAACTAATGGATGGTGGTGAGCTGTTTGATCGAATCAGCCAACAACGATGTTTCACAGAGAAGCAAGTTGCCAGCTATACAAGACAGGTATGACAGAATTAGACATCCCATGATCTTAGGAAACATGACTCTATTTTGCAATGAAATCTATTGTATGATTGAAGGTATGTTTTAAATTTTGAATAAATATTAGTCTTCATACATAAACCTTATTGAATTAAAATAAAATAATTCCTAAAGCCTCAGTCACATTTGCTCTACAGTGGCTGAGCTCGATATAGAAAATCTACATCATACTGCTTATCCCTATATCTCATTCTGCATATTATTTCTCTCAATTTTGGGAAGCTCCGGCCTCCCTATGGTCGACGTTGATCAAATGTGACCAAGGCTTTAATTCATGTAATTAGGAAATTGTGATTATATTGTGTTTTTATTTATTCATTTATTTTAGATTGCAAAAGCAGTTGATAGATGTCACTCCCTGAATATTGCCCACAGGGATTTGAAGCCTGAGAATCTCCTTCTGAAGGATAATACTGAAGTATGTTCATGGAAATCAAAATTATTTCACGATGGTGTAAATTCCAGCAATCATAGTAGCCTATGTAATATCATTACATGTATATCCTGTATTGAGACATGGTTTTTGTAACATAGACTATATCCAAATATCCATACAAACGAGATATCCAAATCGCATATGCTCAATAGGGAGGTTTCACTACACATATTTAAGTGAACATGTAATATTATGACCTACAGGCAGACAGGGAGTACTGTCCCCCTCTCAATTGTTTTTTCCATGGACCTAATTACAACTTATTCCTTGTACCTCTATTCTACTCAATTGGGCAAGTAAATACTACAAAGAAAAGAGAACTTATGCCTAGAGGACAATAATTCTACAGGTTCACATACAACTTCTCTATTATGTGTAGCTTATTCCCCCTACAATCTCAAAGAGGTGTATGTATAACAGATAAATATAATGACAATGAGTATTTTATAAGTAAGTTTATTTCAACAGGATGCTGTGGTTAAGCTGTCAGACTTTGGGTTTGCAAAGATAGATGATGGCAACCTAATGACACCTCATTTCACTCCATATTATGTGGCTCCTCAAGTCCTGGAGGCCCAGAGGCAGCAGAACAAAGACAAGTACCACATTATACCTAGTGCCGTGCCATATACTTATGATAAGGTAATAGATTATACAGAATAAAATGTCTCATCAAAAACCACTGGGATTGGCCTTAAGTGTTCGGAATAGGAAGTGTTCTTTAAAGACGAAAGATTGCAAAATTTAGACGAGGAGAATATGTACATGTACGTGTTACCCTTGAATACCTTTTTAAAATACCTAAGAAAGTCTGATATTAGATCTCAACTTGGGAGGCTGTGAACATCATCTTAATTTTCTCGTCTGCGCATTTCTAGACAAATTGCTTTTAGGATTGATTTCAAGTTTTTATTATCATTTGCTTTAAGTAAGTTCTCATGTGGTTTTGATAGATATTGATCACTGCGAGTCTTGTTTATTATCAGATTATCAAGTAGATAAAGACACCTAATTAAACGGAATTGTGTTTCACTCAGTGCTTAACCACTTTCTGTGTGAAATTCGGATTATGAATGCTAGTCATGAAGGCACCATGAAAAATGCTGTTTTTTACACACAAACTGTACCTAGTGAATCAAAAAATTAAGCTGATATCATTCAGTTGAGTTTAGTAATTTATTCGAACCACTTTTCTGTGGTCACCCTGTACAATTTATATCTGTTTTCTAGGCATGCGACATGTGGAGCCTTGGTGTAATTATTTACATCATGTTATGTGGCTACCCTCCATTTTACTCTGAGACTCCTTCCAAACAAATCACAAACAAAATGAAGAAGCGAATAATGGCAGGAGAATACGAGTTCCCCACTGAAGATTGGTCACATGTTTCAGAACATGCAAAATCTCTAGTAAAGAAGTAAGCTTTTGAAATCGAAACTGCAGTAGTTTAATATAAAGTCTTTGGAATCTCATCGTTAATTTCAGTATGAAATGGACACTAAGATACTGTTGACTGCAGTAAGTACTGAGCCCATACTATATGGAAATTACCTGAAATGTTAAGTTTGTAATTGGTGAAACTTCAAAATTGCATGCTTGGTTAGGTTTAGTTCTAACATACACAGATGACTTGCTCACATTTTTGAGAGAATAGTAATATGGGCATTATAAAAAGAATAAGTCCACTTTTTGTCAGATAAACCAACCAAATACTATTTTGCTACATGAATTTTTGTCAGGTTAAAAGGTCTATAAAACATTCAAAACATTTATTGACCATTCTTAGAATATTGCAGAAACAATTCATAAATATACTATTTGGTAGAATTGTTATTTTAATATAAAGTACATGTATATATTTTATACTTATTAATCTGTTTTTGACAAACTTTTGATTCAATTCATTTATCTTTATCACTTCCTACTTTATTTAATGTATAGCATGGTTGTGTTAAAGGTTACTGATGACAGACCCTCAACATAGGATGGTGGTAGATGACCTCTTACGTGATTCCTGGCTGGACGGTGATGCCCCCTCTACACCACTCCACTCACCAACCATTATGTTGGACAAGGTATGTCATGTACATAACTTAAAGGGAAAATCAGATCTAATTTGCAAGCTAATCAAAAATTGTTTCAATTTTAAAATGTTTTTGGCTTGAAATGTTCTTACCATTTGGGGGAATTTAAACATTAAACACTAGTTTCAAAAGTTCACCTGTTTTCACAAGGCCTATTGATCATTGAAATCATTTTTAATTTTCACTAGAATCATTACATCATGTGAGCACAGTACTTATTGCACAGCACTCATGGTACTATCTTTTATATATACCATAAGATGCACATTTCAAAACTCAAATGAGTGTAAATCAAGTTAATGTTAGTTTGCAAATATCAGTTTATATTTCAGAATCTTCTTGAAGAAGCCAGACAGCAGCATGCCCTTCAACTGACAAACATGAGATTGCCTGACCCTCAGTTAACTCTTAAACCTCTAAAAAATGTTAATAATCCAATTATTAAGAAACGCCAGAACTCCAGTGCAATGTAAGTATATCTATTTAGCCGGACTGTTTGAACATTACATCACTTAATGTCACTATATGACTGAATACCATACATTGCATGACTAAATATCACATAACATGACTAAATGGTACATTACATGACTGAATATCATATATTAAACGTATACTTGTCTAAATATCACAAAACTTGACTGAATGTCATATATTACTTGTCTTAATATCATTTCTTGAGTGAATATCACATAATAACATCACTTCTGTCACATTATGACTGAATATCATACTAGTATTTCATGACTAAATATCACATTACTTGACTAGATATCATGTTTATGAATATCATATATAACATCTCTTAATGTCACATTATATGACTAAATATCATATATTTCATGACTAAATATCACATTACCTGACTTTATTTCAGAGGACCTCAACAGACACAGGGTGAACCTCCCAGGAAACAGTCATCACGAGATGTTGCTATACAGAAACTTCGAGATATTATAGCTTACCTTATATTACCCCCAGCAAGTAAGTGAGATATTATAGCATGCCATGGTTACATAAGATATCATGACAAAATAAAATCTGCATTTTTACAATCCAGTAGAAAATTGGAAAGTTTTCATGAAACCGTCAAATTCACCTGGAGACTCCAGGGGCATATAGTATTGTTCAAGGATTTTTAATACTAGACTCAAAATGAAGCTGAGAGTAACAATGATCTACAGTCAGACAGTTGTTACAATGGTCTACAGTCAGACAGTTGTTACAATGGTCTACAGTTGTTTCAATATTAGAGGTTGAGAGCATGACAAGCACTGTTTAACTATGGAATAAAAAGAACATCCTATGATTTACTATATGATTTTTATCCACTGTTGGATATTGATATCAGCACTCTCTCATTATGCTCATATGTGCAGATATCATATCCATTCCTGGATAAGAATCATATCACTCATAAATCAATAGGATATCCTTTATACACCTTACATGCCTTATACTACCCAAGCAATTGAAATAACAGAATAGTCTTATTGATGGATATATTTTATTGCAGGTGAAGATTACACGGAACAACTGAATAATCTCATAGATGAAGCTCTCAGATTGTATGAATTTGAGGAAAATAAGGATATTTTAGGCACCCTTCATGATATGAAAAACATGGATTTTAACATAAGCATTGAAAGACAAACTGTTGCTCACTCATTGAGTGAAATGGTGAAATCCTTGACAGATCCCATGTTGGACAATAACAAACCATTGCAATCTACCTCATCTAGCCATCAACACAGAGCAGATCCAACTGTTCTCTAATAGACCTGATATTAGAGAATTCTAATCATGATATTAGACTTTTAAATTTAGAAATCCAATTTCAAATTCAATTCAAATGAAATGACATGCAGGGATATAGGCTAGTGCACTATAATAATCAGTATTTTTGATGCGATTATAATTTTGCTTTTGGAATTCTGAACTTTTGCCACTATTAATTTTTGCTGATTAAGATTAGTCAAAATTTATCCAGTTGAAGAGACTTATTTTTTATCATCGAACAATGAACAAAAACTGCGAAGACTGAACAACATACGATGGAATCGCAAATATTATGATTATTACATATTTTTCAAAAACTTGCAAGTCATAAAAGTTAATAGCTCACAACAATAACTAAGAACATATTTATTCAGGAGCTTTTGAAAAATTCCAAGGCTAGGCATATATATAATTAATTCATCAAAACATGTGATATTATTCAAATATTTAGTTCAATTTAGGCAATCACCAGTGCATTATTAAATGAAACAAAGTTCCCGATGGAGAATAAAACTTGCAAAAAGTGTGACCAAATGCAAAATGAGAATGACAATGGTATAAAACTATGATATATGGCATTTTGGGGCTAGACCCTTAGAAATGGCTTAGGGACCCTTATCCCTGATGTAGGGAAGGTCTCATACAAAATCCTTGGGAGTTTGGAAAATCTCAGACTGACTGACTTATATCGTACAAGACATGTTACACTTCAGAAATTGTGCATACATTTTATTGTGGCGAGTCTTATTAGAAAAAACAATGCTTGATTAATAGTTGCAGATTCAATTTTTTTGCAATACCTTATCTTGGCTAATAGCTGAACTGAGACATTCACTTTTATATAATTAATATATAATGGCATTTTAATCACTTCTTGGTGCTTATTGGAGTGGGAAATGATTAAATAGAGTTGGAAGTTGACATGTGTTCCACTTAAACAGGTTTTAACTGTGGGACTTTCCAACTATACCACTTATGACTTCGGTGTTCATGTACTTGACAAATTTTAATGTACCATAGGCTACCCATAGATTGATATTAGGGCTTACATATTTTGTAAATAAGAAAATATAATAATATGCATGACAACTTTTCAATATATTGTAATATTTTTGACATTGTCTGTATATTTGATGTATGGATATATATTTTAGGCTAATATATACAGTACCTGTATATCTGAACACCTCTTGATATGAGCACCCCATCTTATACTACACCTTAAATTCAATGAACTATGGATCATAAAGAAGACTCGATGACAGAGTCAGGCTCAGTATTTCATTCACTTCAATTTTATTGGGGTTCTGTAAAATGATTTTAGTGTTTTGTATAAAACAAAATTGAATGTTGACTAAAATTTGACAGTGCAATATAGTAAGATAGTTGTTTACCTTTATTATCCCAACGAACGAAGTTCGGTAGGGATATAGTGAAGCCCTCCGTCCGTCCGTCCGTCAGTCAGTCAGTCAGTCAGTCCGTCCGTCTGTCCGGAAGATAACTCAAATACTAGTTGACAGATTTTCTTCATATTTAGTGGAACGATGAATATTGGTGAATAGTTTTACGCAAAAAATCAAGATTTTTTTTCAAGATGGCTGCCGCTTTAAAAATGACAGGACTTTTTCACAAAAATCATAAATTTTTCATTCTGAACCAAAGTAATTAATATTATTGTTTGAAATTTTGGTAGTATATTTACAACATTTATCTATTTCACATATATTCCTTGTTTTTCATCCTGACCCCCAGGGGCCGTGTATGGGGGGTCAGGAAAACAGAAATTTTCGCTAATTTTTAGATCTTTCTAAAGTATAGCTTTATTATACTCAAATGAAAGGCAATTAAGAGTATATTGCAAATATTGTATCTTTTTTCTGATTCGAGCCTCGTAAAATTCAAAATGGCCGTCTAATGTACGATTTCGCAATAATTTTTCGATCCCTTCAAAGTATGGCTATATTATACTCAAATTGAAGGAATTTTGGAGTAGATCACAATTATGGTATTATTTTTCAGATTTGTATCTCAGAAAATTCAAAATGGCTGCTTTGCAGGAATTCGCAATTCTAAAATCAAATTTTTTCAATTTTAACCAAAGTAATGAGTATAATTGATTGGAATTCGCTAATTGATATTTTGTTCGTTGGGATTTGCTACTCCGCGGAGTTGCCGTTATCTAGTTGACTTACACATGAGAGCAGAACTATGTAATAGTTCAGAGTTAAAGTTTATATATAGGCTAGTAATTGAATAAAATAAATGGTATACTGTGATATTATTTTTATACTAGCTGGTTTAATTGTTACGGGAAATAAATGATCCATTGAAATGTGCCAGTTTTCTATTTAGACTTTGAATGAAATGTTGGACATTTTCGTACAGTTCCTTAAAAAAATAGATCTGTAAAATTGTTAATTGTTACATTGTATTGGAACAAAGAATTGTAATTTCAATTTAAAGCTATAGAAATGACACTTTTTTTGAATATTTTACTGAGTACATGTATCTATGATGTTTTTCCTGTAAATAAATACCTCATTATTTTTATGGATGAAATAAATGTATGAAATAAATAAAAAGATGGTTGTGTTGTGTGGATGTAATTATTAAAAGTTCAGGAATCTCTAAATGTAATCAATAACTTGAATTAGAAAGTTGCACTTGCAAAATACCATGTCAATTGCTAAAGGGATTTACTAAATTGACAATTTCATTACTGAGAAATTCTCAATAATTTGACTGAAAGGCAAATATGCGGTCCATTGTTTTCAGGCTAATTTTGGTCATCAAAATCTAATACCTTCCAAATTAGGATTTCAATGCCATTCTACCTTTCAATAACTTCTAGATCTCATATTGTATAGCCCAATCTATTTATGCAATAGGAATGCAAAAAACAAGATCATTTTTGGAAAATAAGATATTTTGAAAAATGTGTAGAGAAAGGGTCCTAATCCATGGCTTTTCAAAGAAATTGATAATTTTATGGAGGAAAATGTATTGTTTTGATGCGACATGTTGAACTTGCAATGAGAAAATATGTCAATACCCTTTATCCTCATGAAGAAAATAAAGTAAAACAAAAAATATTGTAGAAGTTGAATAGAATTTATTTTTTGTAAATATAAATCAGCTTTTCCATTTTTTCAGTGAACATGACTACATAATTTTTTATATTGATAATATTACAATATTCAGTGAAAACAGGGAGGTTAAGCTACACAATTATGAGAGATCTTGTTGGCAAACATGTAGAATTATGGTCATCTAGGGATTAGAACTACCCTTTGTTTGTATTTACATGTACTTATCTAATTAAGTATAAAGTTTTAAAGAAAATAGTTGTGAAAAGATCCCTTGAAAAACAATTGAGAGTGGAATAGAAATCCCAAAGGGGGTATTAATATAAAATGTTCATGTACAAGTTCTCTTAAAATGTGTAGCTTTATCTCCCAAATACTATCATGTTACAGAACCTCTTTGTGAAACATCTGAACATACATTGTATATCTGGCAAATGTTCACTTTAATCAGATTTAATTGTAGGCCTACATGTTTATAATGATTTGTAGGCCTATTAGAAATTCACATAGTATCTATCATTTGAGTGATAACTAGAAGATTGCAAGCAATCTTACGGAGGCCCTGTAGGCTTTTTTAAACATTTAAAGGTCAGCCAAAGGTCAAATCTTAAATACAAGGACATTTATGAACTCCAGGCATCTTGTAGATGATTTTTAAAAAAAATTTTGGTCAATTTGAAGCAATGTGAAATTTGACCTTGAAAAATTTCAACATTAGACCTTTTTCAGTTTTTGAGGTCCAATATCTCAAAACTGCTGCAGAATTTTAATAGATAATCAATTGTTATTATGTGTAAAACCTTTAGAGGAATATATATCCTGACTTTAATTCAAAAATATTGATTTGTAGTCACAAACTTTGAGAAACTTAGAAAACACAGTTTGTGATCTTGTTTGATGACCTTGACCTTTGACCTTACAGGTTTTACTTTTTTAGACCTCAGTATATCTTTTCTGATTGAAGAAACCTAAATTTGAATCCAGAAAATCAATTTGAAAAATTAACTTTTTTGACCTTTCGAAGGTCACTGAAGGTCAACTAAAGGTCATAGTTCAAAACTAAGGTCAGATTTGAGTTCCTGAGATCTTGTAGATGCTTTTTAAAAAAAAGTTTGGTCAATTTAGAGCAAGTTGAAATTTGACCTTGAAAAATTTTGAAATTTGACCTTTTTTTCAGTTTTTGAGTTCTAATATCTCAAAACTGGAGCAAAATTTTAATAAATAGTCAATTGCTAATATGTGTAGAACCTTTAAAGGAATATATATTCTGACTTTCAGTAAAAAAAATTGATTTGTAGTCTCCAATTTTGAGAAACTTAGAAAACACAGTTTGTGATTTCGTTTGATGACCTTGACCTTTGACCTTGCAAATTTTACTTTTTTAGACCTCAGAAGATCTTTTGTGAATAAATATACCTAAATTTGAATCCAGAAAATCGATTTGAAAAATCAACTTTTTTACCTTTCGGAGGTCACTGAAGGTCAACTAAAGGTCAAAGGTCAAAAGTAAGGTCAGATTTGGAATCCTGAGAACTTGTAGATGAGTTTTAAAAAAAAATTTGGTCAATTCGAAGCAAGTTGAAAAAAGACCTTTTTTGACCTTTTTTTGACCTTCAATATCTCAAAATCTAGGCAAAATTTCTCTAGACGGCAAAAGGCTAAGACTAATAGAATACTAATATCTATATGTGTGCAAAAATTCAGCCAAAAATATTTAAGTGTAGTGTCAGGATTTGAGAAACTTGAAAAAAACTTAGATTTGACCTAGATTTTGACCTTTGACCTTGACCTAGATAAAAATTCCTTTCCCGCCAAGTTCAGCCCAGGTCCCTAGTAGGACTATGTAGTACCTAGTTGAAAGGTAGTTGGAAGTAGGAGAAAAAGAGGGAGGAAGAATAAATAATAATAATAATAATAATAATAATAATATCTACAAAATTGATAGGAGGCCCCCCGATGGGGCCTCCTAATAAGACCTATAAGAACTTTTACTCAGAAGCTCTGAGAATTATGTCTCCAATTCTATACAATACTGATAAAAAATCATTTAATCAGACATCATATTGCGTTCTTTATTGTTTAAATTTCTTAAGTTATACAACATTTGCTATACCAGTAAGTACATGCAAATAGACATGATAACTTTTGTTATTCTTGTACAGAATGTAGATTTAAAATTATTTTTTTGTGACAGTTGTAAGACAGGTAAACCCACATCTTCACCAAGTTAACACTAATTTCCCATATGAATAAATGGGTCGCCTCATATTTTCAATATTATAGTCCATATCACTTTGAGGCAGTGGATATGTTATGCACTGGAAGGTTTTAGATACAGATTTTATCCAGAGGGAAATATGTAAATGTATTTTCCTCCAGGAATCGAGGGAGATACATATATTTCCAGAGAGATAAATCCTGGATCCAAAAGTGACAATACATAACAGATGTATTCCATACCAACTGAAGTTCTTGGTATAATTCATATTAAGACATTTTTGTAAAAATAAAATGAAAAAGATTTGTGTAGAATTATTCAATTTTTTGAACAGGAAGAGCTTAGATCCAGCCTGTATTTCACGGACCTTAGGGCAATAGTGGGATAATTGCAGAAAATATCTATTCTGCTCCCTAGATACACTATATATTCCCATATGTTTTGTACCTAGAACCTCAATAGGCATGGAATACTAACATCTTGCCACACATTTAAATGTAATATTGAAATGAATCTCCAATAGCAATTCTTGGACTATATCATATGATTCAATACATATAATTATTTTAATCTATTTCAAAACCTTTTTCAGAGGAAAAACATATTTCCATTTATCTTAAGAACTAGATAAAGATCAAAATATCCATTTGCAACATAATCTTAAATCTTTATTATTGAATTAAAAAAAATATACATTTTAATAGAAATTCTATGTGCACATTTCAAGATACAATATTATGTACATAAGAATCGAGTTCACGTGTTTCCAATGTCTCGATTCTTTGCTAAATACATGTAAGACCTTGCAAAACTGGATTCAGAATTTTGAAAATACATGTACAACATTATGTATATTAATATATATATATGTTCATTATAACATACCTTAAGACTCTAAAGGGAAATTGTGCATTTGTATGATTGCCATTAAAGTTATATTATCATGAAATAAATAAAATAAAATAATAAAAAAAAATTATTGAAATATTTCAAATGGTTCCGTACTTTTGAAGGATTGAACTTTAATAATTTTAGTAGTGAGACAGTTAACAAGTCATGAATGGGTGTGTAATCTTGTATTTTTCATTAAGAGGCACTGGTTGATAGTAAGATTTAATAGGAGAAATATAAATTGGAAGTATTTCCATTACTATTGCTGTAATGTGTCAAACTTAAAAAAAAATCCTCAACTTTGCATTGATGACAATTTAAGTCTTATTTTTTGTGAATTATTATAATGGTGATTATGGTTTATATTTTTGTCTGGAAAAATGACAGTCAAAGGCCATCTTTAATATCCGATGATAATCTTGTCTTATATCTCATCTAGAACTAGCCAAGTGTCCGGGTCACTTCCAATGCTAGTGTCCATCACTTCAATCTCATCTGCACCTATAGCCATATGTTCAGCATCAGACACTTCAGATACACTGGGTGCAGAAATGGCAGTTGTGTTACCACCTCTATCAATATCTACATTACATGAGCTCTCTGTTGCATGTTGAGTTTCTTCAACATCAACAGGTTCATATACAGAGCTTTTGCTATTTACATTTTGAGTTTCAACAGTTTGTTCAACACCAGGCTCCTTCTTTATTTTTGATGTATTGAATAGTTGCCAGATGGTCCTTGATGGATCCTTTTCATTTTCATCATCAGGTTTCTCTACTTTAATGTTTTGAACATTTTTAATAGTATTTCCCTGACTGGTTGTGTCCTTTGTACCTTTAGGTTTAGGTTCAGTGGTTGTCTTAAAGTTCTTGAATCTATTTTTAATATTTCCAAGATTAAAAATAGCTTTTGATTTTTGTTTAGGTTTTTCAATATCTATGTTAGATTCCATAATGATAATGTCTGATACATCAGTCTTAGGTGAATGTCCCTGCTTGATCATCTCTGCTTGATCATCAATTTTCAAATCAGGAGATTTTCTTGGATTGTTTGTGTTTACTCTTTCCAACAGTTGTGTGTCAGATGTTGTTGTGTTATCTATTTTCACTGGATCTTGTGGATCATTATGTTTATCTACACTGCTTTTAATATTCTCACCTCTGATGGCTTTAGATGGTTCCTCAATTGGTTTGCTTGTCAGTGACACCTGAGTGGCAGCGGAGTTGGTATCACTATAAGAATTGGACTCTTCGAGGGAATATTTGTTAATTTTGGGACCTTTAGTTGACTCTTGTACTCCATCAGCAATCTTACTCACTACTTCAGAATTACCAACATTTAATGTGGTTTCTTTTTCCTTCTGTGTCACCTCACCAGCACTTGTGCTTGATGTAACCTCAACAAGGGGCTCATGTTTAGCAGTTCCTTCAAGCGATGTACATTTGGTCTCATCGGGATTCTTTTTCTTGAATTTGTTCTGCAACTTGCTGAGATTAAACTTAAATGGAATTAGTTTGGTTGCAGTTGTGGATTTAGTCTTTCCAAGCTTTATGGAATCACTTCCTGGAACATTTTTTACATTTAGAGTATTTGTTTTCTGTTTTTCTTTGACACATTCAATTGGTTCACTGTTGTCACTATCTGAGAATATATTTCCAACACTAAGTAAATCAAATATACTTTTCTCCCTTCTTTGTTCTATCTTAGGACCACTGCCACTGCTGGTCTGTTCCACATTTGGATTAAACAGTTTACTACAAGAACTGCCATTTGGAAGTTGAGCATCTGTATTTTCAGGCATTAGTCTCATGTCATTATTGGACACAAGTGCTGGTGTCACATTATCAGTAGGCTCAGGTAGTGATGTTTCTCCATCCTCAATAGCATCTTGCATCTCATAGTCATCTTCTAAAGTCACATAAGGGGCAGAACTAGGCTTGTTTGGTCTGATTGAACGCTTTCCATGGTATGTGTAGTCTTTATTGACATCAAGTAGCTTTACAAAAGGTTGATTTACATTGCTTAATTTAATAGGACTGCTTTTCTCTTTCTTACCAGGTGATGCTTTATTCATAGAAATAGTTCCCGTGTTTGATTCATTAACTTTTAATATATTTTGTTTTTCTTTTGGTTTGGGTCTGTAGAGCACTACTTTTGGATTCATTGAGTAATTTTTTGCTTGTATACTTCCTTCTTTTTGGATAGGATTTTGTTGTAGACCTCTATCATCTGACAAGTCAGTAGATTTACTAACACTTTGTTTTTGTTTACTCTTGGGTTTAGGTCGAGATGCTTTCTGAACTGTGGTGCTTTGAAGTTCTTTTTCATTTGTGTCTCCAGTCTGGGTGCTATTTCCTTTACCTTGATGTTTCACTTGGTCCTTCATTTCAGTTACATCTTTGATTGGTTTATCACTTTCTTCATCACATCCACCCTTCTTCACCTGTTGTGAAATCTCACTTGGCGTCATTTCAAAATCAATTTGTTGTTGCTTTGCATCACACACTTCTAATGGAGCAATTTGCTCTTTCCTTGGGTGTTGTTTACGGCAGTGATATACAATTGATTCACGAGACTTACTTTTCACATTACAATGGGGGCATTTGTAATACTTTTCCATCTGTTCAGACTGCTCTGGAGTCTCAGATTCACATTCTGGTTGAGAAAGTATGCCTTCCTTGCCTTTGTACTCACTGGTGACTCCTCTATGTAGCTTCTTGGCTCCTCGTTCATTGGCAGAGTGGATTCTATCACAATGTCGCAATATATTCTGTAACTGTTTACTTGTAAAGTAACAATATGAACACTTGAAAGTTGGTTGTTCATGCCACATTACATGCTTTTCATACTTGCTCCAGACAAATGTCCTAAATTTGCAATGTAGACATTTCAGTTCATGAAGTGGGGTTTTATAGTTGGGTTCTGGTCTTATTGTTGAGATCTGCCCTTTCTTGATTCTTATGGCACATTTTTCTTTTGATATGTGTTGTCGACTGCAGTGACGAAATATATTAGAACGATGTATGTAAAAAAGGTCACAGTATGGACATTTAAATGTCGGTTTCTCATGTTGCATGAGATGTTCTTCAAATTCCTTCCATGTAAAACTCTCATACTCACAATGTTTACAGGAAAACGCTTTATCTTCAACATTATCTTTGTTTTTCTCAACAAATCTTTTGACAGGTTTATCAATACCTAAATCAATGACCAAAGCCTTCATTTTAGGATGATCTTCTCTACAATGCCTTTGCACTGCAACTTTACTTTCAAAAGATTTTGAACAGTACTTGCATTTGTACTTCCTTGTAATGAGGTCCTCTCTAAATTTACCAGTTTTTGCATCAATAACTCTAACAGGCTTTTTTGTATGTTTCAGTCTGCAGTGTCTTTTGATAGTAGCGACATACTGGGTCTCTAGTGGGCAATATGGACATCTGAACAATGCAGTTTTAGTTTCTTCACTATTTGTGATATTTACAACTCTATGTGATTTGTTAGGATGTTTGACTGTGCAATGTTTTTTGACAGATTTGGCATAGTGGGACTTAAAGAGACAATATGAACACTTAAACAAACCTGTTTTCTGCTCAGGCTTCCTTGAATGGGCATTATCAATTTGCTGTATAGAAACCTTTGGAAGAGCATGTATTTTTTGATGGTTCTCGAAAACAGCTTTGGATGTTGTGGTAAATAGGCACAATTGACACTTGTGAATATTGTCAGATGTCTTCTGTTGTGTGTCTTTGGACTCCTTCAAATCCTTTTCAATGAATGCGGGTAAATTGTGACATACTAAATGGGATTGGAAGTCTGACTCTGATTTTGTGACATATCTGCAAAAGCCACATTTGATATCTACTTTAATAGGCTTCTCTTCAATCTCATTTAGTTGTGCTGCAAGGTTATGAGTTTTCAAATGGGTCTGGAAGCTGTCTTCATCTTGGGTAACAAATCTGCAAAAGCCACATTTGATAGCAGGAACTGATACCTGTGAAGATGGTTGTGCATCTGCGTTCATGTCAGTGCTGATGACCTTAACAGCTTCATCAGGGTGACTTTTCACACAGTGTTTCCTTATCCGAAATTCTTCATATTGCTTGAAGTCACAATAAGGACATTTGAAAGGATAGTCTTCATAGATTGGTCCCTTTGCTTTAATTTCCACTTCAGCAACTGAAAACAAAGTAAGTACAGTTATCAAAAAGAACATTGTTACAATCGTCTAACACGTTTAAAACTATTTGTTTAAGAAAGAATTAATTGACATAAACAACAAATTTAGGAAATGGTTGAAATTAAATCTGTAGGTATTACCTTCATCCTTAGTCTGACTGGTATTAGATCTCTTAGAAGCTGAGCTTGCGTTGCTTTCAATAGAGAGTGTCCTTTTTCTCGCCTTCTTTACAAGATCAATAGACTTGATGGTTGAACTGCTAGATTTTTCACTTGTGTTGCTCTCAATAGAGTCTCTTCTTTTCCCTGTTCCCTTCTTACCAGGTACCTTGAATATAGTAAAAAGTAAAATGAACTTTTAATGATTCTTTCACACTTTTTTAACTTCACCTCTTCAGTTGCTGAATCATTTAACTGATAAGTCAATACAGAATGTAGAATGACCACCAAATAATGTTTACTTACAGTTCTCTTAGTGTTCTTTGCTGTGTCTTTAGAGACCATTCTCTCAGCCATCTGGTCATCTCCATCCGTCAGTTTAATATCAGCATCATCTGACTGAATACTTGGGGAATGTGTTGCATTGTTGTCTCTGACACTTAAAATTTCTTTGTTAATCTTCCTATCAACTAAATTGTCCTTTACAACTCTGAATTCTAATGGTTTATCACAGTGCTCTCCCTTTATGTGAAATTTCATGTCAAACTTTGTTGTACAGGCGAATGAACAGTATGCACAAATGAAAGGTTTATACCCAAAATGAGTCCTCATGTGTGATACTAATAAGGCCATTGTTGGTATTGGGCAACTGCAGCGGGGACATTTGAACTGTGTTTGTTCATTTCTTTTTCTTTTCTTTGTACTACTGTCAGTTTCAGAATGTGTGTGTTTCCTTTTTGTTTTCTTGGGTTTACCAGAACCTTTCTTTAGGTCCTTGTTATATCCAGCAGAGTCGACTACCTTCTTGATGTGTGAGCTCTGCGTTTTATTGAGCTCTTTGTCAGATTCAGAAAGTGCTTCAGCATGTTTCAATTTATTCATCTGATAGGTAAACCAATTCAAATTTCCAACAAGTACTTCACCATCCTTTTCCTCTAATTTGTGAGCATGTCTTGGGAGTTGTGTCCTCTCAATTACAGCAACCCCACCATGAGCTGTATTCATGTGACTGATCTTACTTGCTGAACTATTATAACCAGCACCACATTCTGTGCATTTGTATAATTTCATTTTGAGATGTTTTACTTTCATATGGCTATAAACATTGGCTTTGGAAGACGTCTTATATTCAGTACACACAACACAAACAAAGTTCTTCCTGGGAACTACAGCCTTTGGTTCATCTCTTTGGACAGCCTCTTTGGGTTTCACTTTGGCTTTTAAGTAAGATCTATCATTGCTGGATTTGCCCTTCTTTGTTATCTTTTCATTTTTCATTTTGTTCATCTTCAAGCGAATCCAGTTTTTGTGTCCAATATATTTTTTCCCATCTCTAATTGTAATTTTCTGTGCTTGATGAGACAGATGGACTCTTTGAATAAATGTTCGAGGATCCATGCCACCATGTACTTTATCCAAATGTTCAAGTTTCTCAATAGAACTAAGTTTGATATTACATTCAATGCACTTAAATAGCTTCTGTTTCAGATGTTGCACTTGAATATGTGTATGAACATCTGCTTTGTTATTTGCGTCATATGCTTCACAAACAACACAAGTGTAGATATCCGCACTGGCCTGATCATCTATAGCTGGAGCAGGTTCAATATTTCTACTTCCATTTTCTTCAAGGATGATGTTACTCTCTGTGGTCTTCATAACACTGGTTTCTACATCAGCTTTATGTTCACTAATATAATTTTCTATCCATTGTTTGTTACCATAAAATATCTGCTCTCCTTCAATATATTTCTCCCTGATTGCAACAGGGACAGTTTTTAGCTTGTAGGCATAATGCCAGCCATGGAGCTTCTTACAATGTATTCTTGCCTCTTTTGTAGAATCAAATCCCATAACACATTTCACACATTCATATATGTTCTCCTTCAGATGTGCACCCATGATATGATTGTAGACATTGATGGATAGTTCGCTGCTAAAGTTGCACATTGAGCATCTATGCTTTGATACAACCTTGCTTGTTTGTCCTTTATCATCTGCAACAGTGTCTGCTTCTAGTAGTTCATTATTATCAGCATTGTCCCTCTTGCTGTGGCTGACTATATCAAATATATTTTGACTGTTTGGTGTTCCTGTCTTTTGCTGCATATCTGGTATATTTTCTTCACATCTTTTATTAGAGACTCCATCATCAAAAGTGTCTTTCTGTCCTTCAAATGAGCTTATGTTCATGGATTCATCGAGTAAATCAGAGGATGTTGAAGTCACTTCATGGACATTCTGTCCTGTCTGTTGTACCATAGACTCAACATTCTTTAATGTGTCATCAACTTCATGAATCCCTCTTTCATCATTCTCACGTCTCAATGGCCTTATTTGATGCTCTGAGTCAGACACAATGTTTTGGGGTTGACCAACATCCATTGTCGATTGGGCTGATGTAGCAGTTGTATCATTATTTGCCTGGGGTGGTTTGGGTAAGGATGTGTTATCATGGTGCTGGTGTGACATATGTGACACCAATGAAAGCATATCACCTTTCAACGTACAATGGGCACATTCATGTTTCAAACTCCTGTTATCCATAATCCATTTATAATCTCCAAAGATGATATAACTTCCCCTTCTCACTTCTTTCTCACCCGATGCTGGAATGACATGTGATAGGGACTTTATACACTGGTTACTACTGTCCACACAGCATTGATGGGACTCTAGTGGTTCAACTGTTTGAGATTGCAGTCCACATGATTCACAACCAAATGCCAACTCATTAAGATGAATTTTGCGTATGTGCTTCACTACTAGCATTTTAGAAGTAAATTGATCAGAACAAACACAACATATATAAGTTAGTTCTTCTCTTTTTTCCTCATTCGTTTTTTCAGTGATTACTGTATCCTTATCATCATTCACCATTGCTATCTTTGCAGCAAGACCATCGTTTGGAATTTGATCCTCAGAAATAATATCAACGTCTGATTCAGAATCATTCAGAACATAAATGCCTTCGTCTTGGTCAGAGTTTTGGTTGTCATTGTGTTCAACATACACATCTGGGGGTAGATCATGTGACCTGATATGGACATTGAAATCTGCCTCAGATACGGTGACATATGAACAGTAGCCACATTTTATATCTGCAGCATTTGTAGCCCTCTTTTTAGATCTACCAGGACATTCCCTTTTTGATGAAACTATAGTTGATTGTGACAGGGCTATCCACTTTTCTGGTTGTCCTTTATGCCTCATTCTACAGTGATAATTGATATTACGCTTAGTGTAATTATAAAATTCACAATATGCACACTTAAAGGGATAATTCTCATATTTTGGATCCTTGGGTATATGTGGCCAAAATGCTCCTTTGTCTTCATTGTCAGAACTGTTATCGCTTCGATTTCCTAATGTTGCATCACTGTCTGTATCATCAGTAGTCTGTTTCTGTTCACCAATTTTTTTCAATTCAAAGCCACTTGGCTTTCCTTGACTCTCAGTTCTTTTCAATTGTAAAATATCTGAGCTGCTAAACACAAGTCCTTTTCTCCAAAGAATTGATAATTCATCCATATGCATATTTCTGATATGTTCCAAAGTCACCCAAATTGAGCCTTGAAAAGGGCAATATGGACAGGGACTTTGCTCATTCAATTTTGATTGAAGACTTTGAACATCTCCAACAATTATTCCAAATTCAGTGAATAATTCTGGCAGACATATTTCTGTTATATCATGTGGTCTTACAATAAATTGGTCGACAGAAACCTTTGTTGGTGTGCATTTATGACCCCTAAATGCTGTTTTTGAAATCTCCTGATGCCAACACAATGTACATTCATATGTCTTTAATCTAAAGTGATCATTGAGGATATGGTCACGTAATTTAGCCTTATTGGATTTTGCAATTCTGCAGATACAGCAGAGATATTTTATGCCACTTTTTCTAAGTTGCATGTTCACATATCGCTCCTTTGGTAAAGCACCATCATTTTTGTGCTGGTGTTTCAAATGAATTGAGATACTAGATTTACTACCCCTTACCATACAGTTTGGACAGTCAAACTTTTGGAGTGAATTTATCTTTATCCAGTTGAGGTTCCCAATGGTGACCTCAGAGCCATGGGCAACCTCTTTTATGGCTCCTTTGGGCACAGAGAGAGGAGTGAACTCTATTGAAGCATCACCCTTATTGACAAAACAATGGTGCGACTCAAGAGTTGCCCTTTCACTGCTCTCCAGGTTACAATATGTACATCTGTACTCAAATAAATTCAAGTGCATTACACCTATGTGTTTGACTGCCTCTGCTTCAGAGGACAGAGTACTACCACATACAGCACACACATATTTTCCTGCTTTGGATCTGTGAGGTATTTCAACATCATTAGATATTTCTATAGATGGATTCCATCCTGCCGATGTTTCAGATGGTTTTCCAACTTGATTCAATGTACGAGTATTTTTACCATCTTCAACAAATATAATGCCATCATTGTTTATCTTGTGAGTGCTGTAAGATGGAAGATTATTCTCCTTCAGGCATATATTTGCATCTTTTTCATCCACAATTTGGTGATCCACTTTTATGTGTAACAATGCACCTGATTTAAAAATAAATCCTTTACTGCACCTTAAGCAGGAGAATGGATATATCTTTCTATGTGTATACTGGATGTGCTCCCTAACAGTGATCAGTTGTTGTGATTTAAAGTCACATACAGAACATGCATACTTGGTTTCATTGGCAGACATTGCAACATTCCCTGTAGTTTGTGTTTTTCTGTTTCCCTGGTCAATTGGTTTAGCAGTTCCAAGACTGGGAGATTTTTGATGGGCCTTTTCTGGTAATTCACCAACATGCTTAGTTACTGTCACAACAGTTACATTATCATCAAGTTTCACCTCATTCAATTTCACTGACTTGTCGCGGAGAATGTTCGAGTCTGAAGTACTGTTATGTACATTCATAAGATGGACATATGTACTTATTTTTTTTGAAAATCTCTTATTGCACAATTTACATGTGAATGGCAACTCATCCATGTGCAGACACATAATGTGTTCTCTTATTTCTGGGTTGGAAACAGATTCATAACAGCAGATTCCACACCTGTATCTTGCAGTTCGTAGTTCAGTTAAGAGAGAACTGTTCCCAATGAACAGCACTCCATCATTTGTTTTTATGGTGTGGTCAATATCAGGCAATTTGGCAGTTTTGAGACAGTGTTGGTAATCTTGTCTTTTGTGGAAAATCTTGCAGTGATACTTTGCCTTTTCTAATTTGCCAAACTTTGCCACACACATCGTACATTTATAAAGTTGTATATTTAAATGCTTGTCATACACATGCTGCCTAGCCTGATCTAGCTCATTGTGATGAGAATTGCATATTCCACAAAAGACAAAACCCTTCATTTTTCCCTGATAGCTTACATCCCTTCGCTCACTGTCAGTTTTTTCTTTCTGAATTTCCTCACTCTTTGAAGATTTTTTTTTTGGAGATGTTTTCTTTGGTAAATACTTTTGCTTCAATTCCTCAATTTGTTCTCTTGTTCCTACATAGTTCAGATGTCCATCAACTTTTTCTACAATGAATTTAGGAAGCTCTGGTTTTCCTAACCAACTCATACTCCCATGTTCTGTAAGACAATGTTTGCGAGCCTGTTTTAAACCTGATCTAAAGCCTTTGCCACACTTTTTACAACCATACTCAAACAGTTGTAAGTGTTTGTTCCATATATGTTGCTGAATATTGAACATTCTATGTTTTGACCTGAAGTGTTTACAATAGGAGCAAATGTATGTTCTTGTTGGTTCTTTTGTCTGTTCCTTTTGATTCACATCAATTGCAGATTTTCCTTTATTTTCCTCATTGGGCTGGACATCTCTTTTCAATATGGTGAAGTTGTTTCTTTTGGTGAAGTTGGCTCTTTTGGTGGAGTTGAAATTCAGGAAGGTTTCATGCTCATCATCATCCTGTTCAATCTGCTCTTCATCTGAACTGAAGTTAATTTCTGTCTGTTCATACTCATATTCCCCATTAAAGTTCACAGTCCCTTTGTGTATGCCCTTGACATTGGACATGCTGTTTGACAACTTGTCATTTTCTGAGCAGTGGTCACTTTTCTGTGTTACTGTCAAAACTCTATCAATTACATCAGATAAGATGTTCTCAATGATACATTTACTTGTTATTGTGTCAAAAGCTTCAGTATCTTTATTCATGTTTGAAGTGTTTTGTACTTTTATATTCTTATCTATGGTTGAACTGCTGGCTCTTTCTATCAGGTCAGACAGAATATCATTGACAACATTTTGACTTGTATCAGTAGTTCTGTCATTGATCATCAGGTCCATGCTAGGAGGTACTTGGGTACTTAACGTTTCACTACCTTTATTTTTGTTACAGACATCATCAATCAAGCTATCAAGAAGAGTTTGTACATGTGTCTCTGCTTCACTGTCTGGTTGAGCATTTTCCTTTGACGGATCACACATTATTTCCTGTGACCCTATGGTTTCATTGAAATGCTCTCCTTGACAAACTTTGTCCAACATTCTATTCAGAAGACACTGTATGTCATTGTTCTTGATATTAGTTGTTTCATTAACATCATGAACAATGCCACCTTCAATCCCTTGTGATTCTTTGTCACTATGGAGCACATCATCAACAACTAATGGTGGTATATTAACATGTGACATCAGAGATGTTTTCTCTTGATTGGAGACTTTGAGGCTTGCTTGATCCATTGGTTCATTGATCTTGTTCATATCATTTGTAACAATGCAGAGTAATTCGTTAAGAATGGATTCTGCTACAATGACACTTTCTTCTGGTAGTTTACCAACTGCATCTTCCTGTAGTTCAGGTTTACCTTGGTTTTGAAGTCTACCAGAACTTGTTTCAATGTCTGGTGTGATTTGTTTCTTAGTTGCCTTAATAAGCAGTGCCTTTAGGAATTCACCAGGGTGGTGGGTTTTACAATGCCTCTTGATGGCTATCCGCATAAGACATGTGAACTTACAATACATGCACTTGTATGACATCTTTGATTCAGGGACATCTCCAGTACCTCTTGTCTCAGTATTCCGATCAGATGCACTTGATAAAGTTCTAATCTTACACATGATCATCTCAGGAAGCCTGTTTACGTTAAGTATACTCTTTCCTTTAATTACATTATCAGCAACTGATTGTACTTTCTGTTTGAGGCTTGGATGATAGAACTTACAATGAGTGATGATGTGGGTTTCTTCATGTGAGCTAAGGCCACAATAAGCACATCTGTATTGCTTGTACGCTGTATGATTCCAATAGAAATGAATTTTCAAAGAATCTAGAACACCTATGTATTCACACTGAGAGCATTTCAAAGTGTCTTGGGATTCATCTACTGGAGTGTCAAATATTCTTTCTTGTGGTTTGGGGAACACATGGTCACTCATATCCATTACAACCTTTTCATAGTCTCTGTTATTCATATCAGAGCTATTTCTATTAACTTCTGGTATATTCTCAATTGGTGAACGTTCAATGATGTCATCAGAAGACTCATTCGCATTTGGATCAGATTTCAGTTTCCCTGTATTTGATGGAGAATTAACAGATACTCCAAGGAATTTAGAGGTCAATGTTCCAAACCTTTGACTCTTATCAAACCCAATAAGCTGAGACTCAATGTCATCAGGTACAGCTGCCATAGCATTTGTATTTGTTCCAACGGGTGTAGTACTTGAACTGGAAGTTTCAATGGGTTCACCTGTACCTCTGGCAACTTGGGCTTTACTCCTTTGGATAGAAGAGACTGTAGAACTTTCTGTTGCCTCCTTTACAGACTCAGCAGCTTCATTGTTGGTGTGTCCCTTTTTAAGATGTCTCAGCAGGTTGTATCGAACTTTTGTCCTGAAACTACATTCTGGGCACTGAATATCCACACGGAAAACACTTTCATTTGGGACAATGTAGTCACCTTGAGGTGTCCGTGGCAGCATGCGAACATTTGTCACAGGAGGTACAGGGGGTGTATGAGCAGGTATCCCAATTAGTTTAGGAATCATTGCTTTCCAATTGGTTGGCAATCTTTTTAACTTCACATGACACCTTTTAAGTTTATATTTCCTTTTGGGTGCAATACTTCGTTTTCTCTGAGTGTTAACATATTCAGCATATGAAATCTGCTCAGTTTCAATATTGTGCATAATATCCTTCACAAGCATACAACGCCCATCTTTCTCTGGGTGACTAGTAAACTGGTGCAGCTTGATAGTTTCATTACTGTTCGCTTTAAAGCCACAATAAGGGCAGATAAAGGGCAAAAGTTTCTTACACAGCTGCTCATGTGCCTTTAGCAAGTGACTTTTTATTGTCAGTGAGTAGTGGGTTTTGAACTGGCAGAACTTGCACAAATACACAGTCACTTCGAATCTATTTTCTGTATTTAAATTTGAACTACTTCCTAATTTGGGCACTGCATTCAATGGTGAATGTTCATCAGTTTGATCTGGTCTTGGTTCAGCTACTGACTCCTCACTCTCAGACATTGACTCATCACATTCTAATCCATCTGTCTCACTACATTCCTCATCCACTGGCTCTTCCTCTATAACTATATGAGTAACACCCACTGGCTTTTTTCCTTTACTGCTTTGCTTCATGCGATTCAAACCTTTCTTTTTCCTCAACTTACGGTGATTATTGACTAAATTGCTGTGTTCCTCTGCTGTGGGGATCTCTGACAGTAGCTCAGATGGCAATTTTGTGAGGATATCCCAATATGAGCCTGTGGTCACCCTGCTTTTCTCACTGCAGCACACATCACCAAACTTTAACATTCTGCCACATTCTACACAAGGGAGATCACTTGCTACAGGCTTATTTTTGAGATATTTCTGCATGTCTCCACTGTGATGACATAAGTGGTAGTACAAACCCTTGAGCTGACTTGCACCACTCCCATTACACCCTGGCACTGGACAATAATGCGAATTCATCACAACTTTGTGTCTTTTCAAATGCATCTGTAGATGTCGTTTTGTATACATGTGGTATGGACAAATTGGACAGGAATATACAAACTGGACTCCTTCTGATGGGTTTTCCACAATATCTTCTGGAATGTTATGTGGTTCAGAAATATTTGACTTGACTTTACATGTATTCAGGTGAATCTTCAGAAGTGTGACATTACGTATAAGGTATCCACATGTGTGACACTGGTACATAATCACTTTCCCTTTAATGCCATCCTCAACTTTGCATTGTTTCTTGTGAACATAGAACATAACCCTGTTGTTTAATTCCACTCCGCACGGGGTGCAAACTAAGTGTGCAGAATCACACACGCTTCGGTTGAGCTCTAGTGCAGCCTGTTTTTCAACTTCAGCTGACAAAGGAGATTTAGCACTGGAGGAATCCCGTGTTTGAGAATTGCTAGGGTAGCCGAAGTTAGATGTTTGATCTTCCAACCATCTATTAACAGGTCTTCTTATCTTTGGCGATATGTCACTTGTGTTTGCTGAAGGAGGTGTAACAGGTCTTATGGATGTTTTGGTACTTGGAGCAGTACTGGTAATTGTTTTTGGTGCTTTATAACCTCGTTGTACAATTGTGGTGAGAGCACTTGTGAGTTTTCCCACATTGTTAACACTGATGGTCATTTCTACATTATTTAAACTTGTAGGTATTCCTGATCCTGTACTGTAAACACTTGCAGGTGTTCCTGATCCTGTATTGTAAACACTTGCAGATGTTCCTATAACTGTATTGGAAACACTTGTAAGTGTTCCTGATCCTGTACTGTAAACACTTGCAGGTGTTCCTGATCCTGTATTGTAAACACTTGCAGATGTTCCTATAACTGTATTGGAAACACTTGTAAGTGTTCCTGATCCTGTACTGTAAACACTTGCAGGTGTTCCTGATCCTGTATTGTAAACACTTGCAGCTGTTCCTATAACTGTATTGGAAACACTTGTAAGTGTTCCTGATCCTGTATTGTAAACACTTGCAGGTGTTCCTATAACTGTATTGTAAACATTTGCAGGTGTTCCTGATCCTGTATTGTAAACACTTGCAGGTGTTCCTATAACTGCATTGTAAACATTCGAAGATGTTAATGATCCCGTATTGTTAACACTAAAAGGTGTTACCTTTACCACTTTGAATGATGGGCTCGACTCAGCAGGTTGGGTGGCTGTCATTACGCAATATGCACCTGTAGCACTAGAGGTTGGAGATTGCAATACAAGAGAACTAATACCTTTATTTGTTACTACAGTTGAGGGAACAGATGGAGATATAATTTGGTAAAGATTTGCTGCACCAGCTACATTTTCTATTCTGCTTCTTCCCTTCTTAACACTTGTGGTCTTAGATTCACGTCTTGCCTTGATGGCATGAAGAGCTGATCCCATCAGGTTGTCTTTTTGAGTCCAACCTCTACAATGCCCTTGTAAATCTTTGTATTCTAAACATATGATCTCAAACTCTGACTTCTTATGTTGTTTAGCATGTTGAATTACCTTCTGCTTAGACTGATTTACAAAGTGGCACCTTGATCTAGTGCACTTATAATAGCCAACAGTGTATTTCCTGATATGACGTGCATAACCTAATAGCGTTCTCATAGCTTTGCCACAATCACGACACCTCATTCGGACATTAGAATGATTTGTTTCAGTATGTTCTTCGAATGATGTTTCAGATTTACAGGTGTGATAACAAATTTGACACATGTATGTACCAGTGCCTACTGAGTTGTGATTAATATCAATATGCAACTGGATATGTTCGGACAACAACTTTCTATCAATAAACACCTGTGGGCAAAAGGAACATGTGAATTCTTTAATTTGTGTATGGTTTGTTTTTAAATGAGTAGTTAGTGTGCCAGCAGTTAAGCATCTGACATGACAAAGGGTACAATGGAAGGCACCTACAGCGTGATTGGTTAGCGTATGTCTAGCAAACTCCACAAATGTCTCAAAACTCTTACCTCCGTGTCTTCGACATTGGTAAGTATGTAGCTGATTTGATTGAAAATGTTTTTTAAATTGATCAAGTTGCATACAGTGATAATTACATGTACCACATTGAAAAGAACAGTTGAAGACTCCTCTTTCAGATATCTTGCATGTCACTGTCTCATCCGAAATGGTCGCGTCTGTTGTTGCGTAAAATCCATGATCATGACCAACTGAAATGTAAATAACAATATCTTAGCTCTATATCCAGTTGCCTGTTAAATTTTCAAACATATGGATGCAACTTATTTGGATTTACATGAAAAGTGAAGTTTCTACATTTAAAATGGTGACCATTTTGAACCTGGAAAGTCTTGGGAAGTTGAGCATTATGGATAATTTATACACTCAGCTCCATGTACTATTTCAAGAATACTGATGCAAAACATTTTGATTTATAAAGCAAAAATGATATTTTTATCATATAGGTGACCGTCATTTTCAATTGAATCCATTCCAAAACTTGTTGCTATTACTATTAACCTATAAAATAATGTACCTAGGCAATTTCAATCTTTTACTTGAATACAAATTGCTTGGAAACTGAAGTGTGGTATATAATTACTTATCGGATTTCAAACTGACCTGGATCATCATAATCTGACTGAAAACTGACACCTACACCTACATCTTCATCTTCAACTTCAACATCTTCAGTCTCTGCATTATCTGCAATTAAAAATCAACAATATTCAAAGTTCTCAACGTTCAACGAAACGATCTACTAAACACGCTTAATGAAATATGCATAGACAAACCCTCGATTAGTTTGTCAACAAATCATGAAAAAGTTAACATTATTCTCAATGGGAGTACTTTTCTTTCTGACGAGGAAAACAAATTATTATTCGAAGAACTCCATTGATACTTCATTAATTCACGAAGATTGTAAAAATGATCTTATGTCTCCCAATGCTGCACCTCTCCCCTTCTTTTACCAATGATAACATTAAATAATGTGTATGGAAAACATTTTGTATTAGCTGATAGCAATTAATGTAATCCAATAAATATAGTATTACACTAAGAATATTAATATTCAATTGGGTATCAGCTTAAAAACGTGAAAGGCATTGAGCTCATATTAATGAGGATTGCAATTTATATGTTCCTTCAAGTGAATATGGGTGGTAATTGTAGAATGTACTTAAGATATAAAATCAATAATTCTATTTATTTTATACAAATGTACTTGGACATGTTTAACTCCAGACATCATCCGTCAATGTTCACAAAAAGTACAATCAAGAGACAATAACAATATGTTGTGACATAATGGAATGAAACCAATGCATAGATGTAAAAAAATCTTGCAATTAATCCACATTGAGGCTTTTGATATAAACTAATGAACTTTTGAAAAATGTTTGAAATAAACTTGAAAAATTAGAAAAAAGTAATGTAATTTGAAAGCATACCATTATTCGTCTGAAGTGACATGCCTACTTCTAAACATTTTTTCAGCCTACAGTGTTTGCAGTTTGCAGTTTTTTCAATACAAGTAATGAGGCAACACTTTGTGTCACATCGGTAGGTGTCCAGCCCATTATTGACATGCTTCCTAAAGAAGTGTGCGCATGAAGAGCAAGTATCAGCTCCATAGTGGAAACCTATAGTAGCATCCTCTCCACAAATAACACACAAGATTCTATCAACTGGAAAAATGGAACAACACTACATACGTTACTGACATTGGAAAATGTTACATATATGTATAGACAGAGTAACACAAAAAATGCCACCCACATTGTCTGCATACATTTTTTGTATGCAAAGATTTCTTTAGAACATTAAAACTAGACTCTGGAGCAACTGCACAAGTTTAAGATGACTAGCTCAACTAGATGCACTTTTATGAGCATTAAAAGATGTGCTCTCAAGATGTGGTTGAAGCTTCTTGTGGAGACTTGCTCCATGGAGTCGAGTTTTAAAGTTCTAAAGCACAAGTCAAAAATTCATGCAGACAAAAAGTTATGCAATGGGTGGCAATTTTGTGTCACCCTGTATATACCCACAATATAAATATATTGGATGTCTTAACCTCAGCTTCATGGCATTTATTTCAAAAATGCCATCAATACTATCATTATCAATTCTCCCAAAGAATAGATAAAGTGTAGTTATAGTGAATATTGAGACAGGCTGCCATCTATACGGGGGTAAGAAAAATAAACTCTACAATTTTATAAATTTTGGCTATTTGTGTGCGATTTCTATTGGTACCTTTCTATCATTATCTACTATTACAATTTTACAACTTACACGCATTGTTTAAAGGGATGATGTCATCATCTGGTACCTCAGTGATGTCATCTTCCTCGGGCCCCACTAGATGGCACTCCTCCTCATCTTCATCACCAGACTCATCAACAATAGTAAACTCACTAGCACACACATCAGCATTGCCATGTTGGAGTTCTACAAGCGATGCCTCAGGTACATCATTATTTTGGTCACCATGGAGATGGTTGCTATCAAACACCACATCTCTACCAAATACAGCATCATCATCCGCTTGTGATCCTCTCACATCTGTCGAAAAATTAAGAAATATTGGAATTGCATAATTTGTACATACAGGGCGCCACAAAAAATGTAACCCTCTAGTTTTATTATATAATTTTTTTTATTTCTAATGGGAACAAGATACCTTTGTAGTTAAAGAAATGCAACATCATACATATAACAAATAGGGTCTGTCAATGGTCAAACAAATGGTCAGAAAGGTTCATCAGTTTTTCATTTCAACAAATTAAACCGTATACAATACTGTACCTTTAGAAGATTCTATCAGCTGGACATTGTTCATGTCAGGTGTCAGATTATCTGGTGTCAGATGATCATTTGATGTCATATTTGTCATGCCATGTGTCTCATTATCATCATCTAGAGTCACAATCTCTTCTGATGTCACATTGTCACTGCCATCAGCTTCCAAGTTGTTTATGTAAACCTGAAATATTTCATTTTTAAAAGAATTACAGTTTTACAATTTATTTGTTTGTTGCATTTTTGATACGTCCTGTATGACCTCTGAATGATCAAGATTTTTAAAAGAATTACAGTGCGTATCACTGGTTTTGCAGTTTTACAATATATTTGTTTGTTGCATTTTTTGAAACGTCCTGACCTGTATAACCTCTGAATGATCAAGATGGAAAGACGCCTTTAACAATATAAAGAAGTAAATTACATGTATTAACGTTTCTTGTACTGATTTTTAAGTGACCAACATTTGAAGACAGCATTAACAGATTATCTGACTGTAGAAACTGCGAAGTATAAATCTAAAGTAAAGCTACCTTTTCTCCATTAACAAGCATAGACATGGTGCCATTGTTTTCATCTAATTCTACTCTTTGTGTATCATCATTGTCACTATTTATGTCACATTTGTCATTGTCAGCATTGTTCTTGTCATCATTTCTGTCACCATTGGTATCTTTGCTTGTTGCAGTATCATCTCCAGTGCTAATAAAAACCTTTAAAGTAAAATAACAAAAATGAACATGATTGAAATCATTCCATTGAATAAATTAGTGTGTTCATGATTCCTGACCCTCTCTACAGACCCAAGTGACATTAAAATATTGTTATCTGAAATAGGAATGGAAAACAAATTTGGTCTTAATTTTGTTCGTTGATTCATTTATGATGTAACTTTAGTACTTTACTTATTTATATCTATCTATAATTATATATGTTTGACATTCTTTGTTAAGAATCAATGTTGAACTACTGACCTTTTCTCCGTCCATCATCATAAAGAAGTTGCCAGTATCTGCATCAAGTTCCAGAGCACATGCAGTACCAATTTGTACTTCAGGCATCTCTAGTGTTGACGGGTCTTTAGCCTTACTTCCTTCAGACAGGTCAATGGAGCTTTCATCCTGTATGTCCAACACTGGTGGATCCTCAGAAGAAGACAGGTTCTGACTGACTGACTGATTGTTTAATATTGATAAGTCCCCTAACTTATTTGTCAAGTTCTCAGAACAGTCATCTTGTGTGTTTATCATTGACATGTCCTCATTTGGGTTGATTGTATCTTGATCAGTGTCCCTTTGTGCATTGTTAGCTGATGTCCCCAAAATAGATTCTGCAGTTTGATCCTCTAATGTTAACACATTCCTTGGTGAGGAACTTGTTAGTTTAGAGTTGGCTGATTCTGATGTTGGATTACTTTTACTTGTCTGATTTAGCGCTGTCTCTATTGCCCCTATAGAACTGGTGCTCTCTGAGTTAAGAGAGATATGAAGGGATTCTGGGACATCAGATGAATGCACCGTGGCATTTGTTGGATGTTTCAAGGGTAAAAGTTCTTGCATTGGTTTTAGTTTTATGGCCTTTCTCATAACTTCTCTACGTTCATCAAATACATCATAATAGATGAACTGTCCATGTTTATTTTGCAGGCACATCTTTTGAGTTATTTTGTCTACGAGTGAGATCTGATACACAGCCCCACTAGGAAACTTGTGGAACTTAAACTTGATGTTTTCGACAGAGAAACTTTTGTCCCCAACATGTGTGAGCTTCTCAACACTGGCAATGTCACTAACTACAATGTTTATCAATTCATCTTGCGTGAACCTGACTGGCATGCCTTTTTGCCAAACTTGAGTATTTTTTGAAGCTTTTGACTTCCTAATTTCAGGGATAGATTTAGTAGAACTGGACTTTTCTGTAGTTATTTGTGTATCCTTAGGTAGGCATGTTGCACGTGGGATGAGGAACTCATAATGGTCAAGTCCATACCACACGATTGGTCTGCTGTTGATTTTCTTAATGAAAGTCACCTTTCCTGGTTTCACACGTTTTCTCCTAAAATCAATGACTAATGTATTTTGGTCATTTTCACCCTTGGAGATGCCCGAGGAGTTGTCCGTTTGGTGATCAATGGTGTAAGCGCGCACTACTTTCTTCTCTGACTGCTCGACTGAGTATAAAATCAAACCGGTATTATTACTGAGGCACATTTTCCTAGATTTTTTATCCTCAATAGTGACCTTTTCAATTTCTTCATTTTCCGTATAGTGATATACAAAGACAATATCAAATATGTCTCCTGGGCCTACATATTCCAATTCTTGAATTTCATTGAGGTCCTTTACAATAATTCTCTCTAAAAAGGGTGTTTTCAATTCCTGATCTTTAAGGTAATATATTCCTGGTCTCTCATATTCTGTTTTTGAACTGTTCTTTGTAACCTTAGGTGGTTTAACTGGAGTTGGAAGAACTGAGGCAGCTCTAGGATTAGATGAATTCCAAAAATTATCTTTTTGTGGTTCTTGTAAAACTTCATTCAGATTCTTATAGTCTAATTGCTCCTTGTTCTTCAGATGTTTAGGATTATCTTCTTTATCTCCAAGTGTCATTGAACGACCTTGACCTCCTTCATCCATGAGAATAACATAATCTGATTGGTTGGAATGTTCCTGACCATCTTCATCCACTGGCCAGAGTGGTGGAGATGCGGTTTCCTCGCTTCTCACCACTGACTCATTGGTCATAGTTGTATTGTCAGTTCCTGATTCATGATTGGCCACAGTACCTTCTGCCAGAATGATAGGTTTATTGTGTTCAAACACAAGAGGTGCATCAGCTTCAATATCTTCTATATCTGTTGCACTTGTGTCACACTTAGATTGACTAAACTCTTGTTCCCAGAGTTTGTTTATACCTTCATTACTAATGATATCGCTCCTGTTGACATCATCTTTGCTAACATTATCCACTTTGACATCACCCTTACTGACATCATTCTTACTGATATTATCCACATTGACATCACCCTTATTGACATCATCCTGGTTGACATCATCCTTACTGACATTATCCATATTCACATCATGCTGGTTGACACCATCCTTACTGATATTATCAATGTTGACATCAACCTTATTGACATCATCCAGGTTGATGTCATCCTTACTGACATTATCCATGTTGACATCACCCTTATTGACATCATCTTTATTGACGTCCCGGTTGACATCATCCTTACATCCTTCCTCATCCCCAGTGACTTTGGGATTATTCACCTTAAGACGTATACCACAAAATTTATAACTCCAACTAGATGGTTTCTCAGTAACTCCAGCATTCAGATCCTTGAACCTCTGCAGGCTGCAGTCTTTGAACTCTCTGTACAATGTACGTTTGAAGTGCGCTCTCAGGTATGTTGAGTGTTTGTAGCAGAAGTTGTGGTAGTAGCAGAACTGGCTGTATGCAAAGTGGACAGAACTGGATGGTGTCCTTGCACAGGGATCTGCCTCAAATATCTTATGAAGACTGAAAAACAAGAAGACTTCAATGGTCTCTATGCCTGTCAATGGATGGCAAAGAATTCAATGGACAAAACCTATCACTGACTTTATACATAAATAAGATCTACTTTTGTCAAATGTTATAGAGGAAACACCAAAAACTGTAATTCCAAGGGCTTTGAAATCTTCAGAGGACATACATTGCCCATACAGCAACTACTAACATTTATTTGAAAGTTATACTTTAACTATGTGTCATACATGTCAAAATCGGCAATTTCTTGGAAACTGGGCGAAAGTGTGAAATGGCGATTACGGGTCAAATAGGCACTATGGATATACATAAAATGAATATGGATATGACTCAAGCTGAATAGCAGTTTAAATTTGTGCAGCCAATGTTGATAGATGGACCAATGGGAGAACAGATGGACATACACATAGTCATTCCCATAGGTTTACTTCATGTAAACCAAAAGACTTTACAGACAAGAGTTTAGAATGAAAAATTGCTATTTGCCAACTTAAAATTTATTCAAAATTCTCGAAACTAATCAGTTCTAGATTTTCATACAAAGAAACATCCCTAAATATTTCGGATCAATCCAACAAACGATTTGGCCTGAAATCTGTAGACAGATTTCACAAACAAAATTTTAGGTTGGAAAATCAAAAATGGCTTATGATAAAAGAAGAAGAAATAAATGTTTGCCAATTCTTTTTTAACAATATTATTTCAAACACTACTGTTAACATCAACATGGGTTTTTAGTTTTACAATGCAGGACATTTGAAATTATGTATACTTTATATATATACATGTATATCTACTGAATAATTCAAAAGCACTGTATTAATAAAATAAAAATTATCGATTGCAGCCATTCAAAAACCAACATGTGAAATGATGTGAGTTAAATAAAATGTTACAGTTAAGTAGCTGTGAAGCAGTTTTTCTTAAAAGTTTACAGACAAGGATTTTTACTCCAAAATAACTAACAGGAAGTAGGTATTGAGTTGACATTTTGCGTAACACATTCAAAACTTATCCTTGAAACTTTGAAGGTGATACCTGCATCAGTTATGGAAAGGGACGAAATAATTAAAGCTTCTCTAATTCAACCCTCAATATTTACATTTTTCAAAACTACCAGAATCTTATTCGACATATCTTAAATGAGATGCTCAAGATCACGCTAATAAACCAGACCAAATGCATGGAGGGGATCACACAATATTTGCAAGAAGATTCACTCCCTTTGAATAAAGTAACACCAGTGTTTTAACGATTGACTTACAATATTCCTGGTAGTGGTATGGGAGTACCTCTGTCCTCCTCCAACATTGGTGTCACTCCTATGCAAACAATGTGGAATGTGAACTCAGTTTTATACTCCTTGGTGACCTGAAACAGAATTACTATCGTTACTTCAAGGATGAGGGGTCAGAATATACAATGGTCCTTTTTCATATAGCTTTGAAATCTTGTTAAAGTCTCATTTTTAATGAGATTTTAAGAGATCTGCATTTTTAACCATTAAAGACTAAAATGTTCTTCTATTTGATGCCATATTTGAATTCTGTGTGTAATTTTCTATCAAAACAACTTTTATTTGCACTGTTATATACCTTTATTCAAATCCTAATGATTTTCTAGTTGTCTTAAAAAGGTCAGGCTAAATTCTCATTTACACAATGCTGAAAAACCTTTGAAAGTTCATTTACTCTTACAAGGATCACAATTTTAATGGTAAATCACAATCCACATGTCAATAAGATCATATAGTTACATTCCAATGGAGTTTTAAGTTGATCTAAATGGAATTATTTCTTAAATCAAGAAATTAAGTGACTTTGGCAATATACATTTACATGTATTCTAGCCCTACCCTAGCCCTACCAATACCCATGATGCCATCTATTTTTCATTTATATGGAAAGGGTCAATTAGACAAGTAAATCAGATACTGTAGATTAGGTTAATTTGGCGCCCGCTTTAATTTGGCGAATTTGGCGAAATTGAAAAATTCGCCAATATTAATCTTCGCCAAAATTTAGAATGAATTCCCAGGAATTACCTAGGGTATTTCTTCCAGTGTATTTAGGTCACTTCCGGTCTAGCTTTTTCAAAAAATGTCTCATGAATTGGCTCAGAACTGGTCAGTCACTCATTAATACTCAGGGAAAAACTAGGAAGGAAAGGGCGGTATAGTAGCAGCATCGATCGTGGTGCAAAATGTAAAGGATGATCTCACAAAAATGTACAAACGTGGTGAATATTACCAGTGGTCCTCAAAAGAAAAAATGAACATAGCCAAACATGGCCATGCAAACAGCGAGTAAGTTAAACTTCTTTTTTTGCATATCCGCCAAATTAAATAGCCGCCAATATGCCAAAAATGGCAAAATCGCCAAATAAAGTAGCGCCAAATTAACCCAATCTACAGTATAAAGGAAAAATTGAACAAGTATTTAGTTATATGATCGTTACATGGCGGCCATGTAGATCACAGCACATTTTTACTACAGATATGGCAATCTTGACACCCTCTGAGACCATTTCCCTTGCTGTAGCAGAATAGTAAAGACGCAACCCCAGTCTGATGGTAGTATAACATTGATACTGTTATCAAGTGAATGTGTATTCCCACTGACCATAGTTGCATCTACTTACCTTCATGCTGGGGAAGAGTAGTTTGAGAGCTTTGAAGAAGTTAGCAGAACTCAACAGTACAGAATCGCTGTGTTTCTTGTAGATATTGTAAAGATGCTTGTAACGTGATGCACTATTCTCCTTGGTGTTGAATATAGTGAAAATCAACCTGGAGAAATGTGGGGAGAATGTAAAACATAAATGGTGGAAAATGCAAATACCCTAAGTGGACTCCTAGTGACAATTTTCAATTTACAGTGACTCATGATATTGTTGAAAAGAATCACACACAAAATTTGCTTCATTTCTAATACCATTTTACACACAAACAAAACAATATCCTAAATTAAGAGACTGAAAATATTGAGATGCAATTCTACTTATGTTTAAGGGCCACTCATACCCAATTGATTTCGGAGATCCTTAAAGATTTAAACCTTATTCATTTAGAATATCACAATATGTTGCCTAAGAGCACATACCTTTTTGATATAGCAAACTCCTCCGTAAATTCAAATGATTCAGTATCTGAGTCTGTACTCTCTTGAGACAGGAATTCATCTGCACTGTCTGTGTCAGTGTCACTCTCTGACTGATTCTCTATGCTGCTCTTCCTCTTGTCTTCCTTTTTGCTTGGTTGATTACTGATGTTAAATGCGACTTCATCTAGGACTTCATCCAAGTGATGGCTTGCAAGAGCCTGAACTGGACTGTCTGATGGAGTTATAACATCGAGATCATCAGCTTTGGCTTGACGGGAGTTCTTCTTCAATATAGTGTGCAGTTTTTTCCTACGAGCTTTTTTATTTTTTAAGACATTTGTGTGACCTTTTATATCAGCTTCTCGTGACTTGTTTATTCCTCTATTAGCTCGAGGAGGTAGGATTGACTTTGCTTGGCATTTGGAATCATATTTTGATGCAATACCACCTATTGAAATTGATGATTTCTTAGTTTTTTCAGTCATTTTCATGTTATCTGATTTCAAACGTGATTTCTTTTTCCTGAATATATCCCGTAAATGTGGTCGGAATTTATTCATGCCCCTGTTTAATCTTTTGGGCAGACTGGATTGAACTATGGCTGTCTCTGTGTTACATTTATCACTAACACTAGTTTGGGCAATTGTGAGGGGACTACTTGATTTAACATCCAATTTAGTAGCTGTGTCATCTGATTTTGATCTGGTTTTTCTTGGACGTCTCTCCTGTGAACTTATTATAGTTCGAAATGGGTTTATACCCCGATTAGATCGTGGAGGAAGTTTCTCTATTTTATAACTCAGTTTGGAATTGTCTTTCAAATCTTTGTGAACATTTCCGTGTGTGTGCCCTTTTGAGAATTTAAATGCCATTGAATCATTTGTCTCTTCATCTTTTTTGCTATCAACATTACTTCTATCTTCAATTTCATCTTTTTGTGAACTATTTACAATGTGAGTAATGTCACTTGGTACATTTACACTTGGATCAACTTCTTCACTTGAACCTATTTCACCAGACCTAGTTAGTCCAAGTTCATTTCCACATGATTCAAAAAGTGTTTCATATTGTTCATTACTGTCATTTTTATGACTGATTGCATTAGTGTTTCCAAATGTACTCTTTCCAGAGCCATCTATATTCTGCCCTGATTCACTTATTTCAAGTTCATTACACAAACTTGTGACTTTGCGAATGTCTTTATTCTGGTCTACTTTAACCCTGAAAAAATTAATATGTTTAAAAATAAATAACAGTTTCTTGCTTATAAAATAACTGGGGATTTAAGAGGACACACCTTTGGTGATATTTTCGGAGACCACAGGGGCTTAAAGTACCTAATACATGAGCTTCATTGGCCAAATATATGCGAACGACATTTCTCTCTTTATATGCAGATACTTGAAGTGTTACGGCAAATACAACAAGCAAGGCATTAAGCTGCAAAATGTTACCACCTACCATTTGTTACAGATGCTGAATGCCAACTCAGACCATTGGGATTCGAACCAATGGGATTTGGACAACTGAGATTCAGACCAATGGGATTTGGACCATTGCATTTCAGACCATTAGGATTTGGACCAATGGGATTTGGACACCTGAGATTCAGACCAATGGGATACGGGACCATTGAGATTTGGACCAATGGGATTTGGACACCTGAGATTCAGACCAATGGGATTTGGACCATTGCATTTCAGACCATTGGGACTTGGACCAATGGGATTTGGACACCTGAGATTCAGACCAATGGGATACAGACCATTGAATTTCAGACCATTGAGATTTGGACCAATGGGATTTGGACACCTGAGATTCAGACCAATGGGATACGGACCATTGAATTTCAGACCATTGAGATTTGGACCAATGGGATTTGGACACCTGAGATTCAGACCAATGGGATTTGGACCATTGCACTTTAGACCATTGGGATTTGGACCAATGGGATTTGGACACCTGAGATTCAGACTAATGGGATACGGACCATTGCATTTTAGACCATTGGGATTTGGACCAATGGGATTTGGACACCTGAGATTCAGACCATTTGGGATTCGGACCATTGAATTTCAGACCATAGCGATTTTGACCAATGGGGTGATCTCCATTTAAAAGGATGGTTCAACAATCAGAACTTTCTTTTAAAAACTCTATGCATGTTTTTCATCAAAGTGCTTAGTTGAAAAACAACAAAGTAGGAAAAAATATTTGAAGACAGTTGAACTGTAATATTTATAATTTGGAATTCCTTTCCTTCTAAAAACAAACTCTGTTTACCACTAACATATTTGCTTGTTTTAAGGCCCTGCATGGTTTGAAAAGATATCCATATATGCCAAATTTGTCTCGGCCAATCACTTAGAGTATTTCAGCACATTATTGTACAGTGCATTATGGATTCAGAATAAACAGAGCAGTCATTATTGGTAAAAAGACAAGAGTGATATCGTCAGAGTGAACAGGACCATGCCATTTTTGACAAGTGAATTTGAATTGTTAGTGCATGTACTCCTAATTTCCAATAAAGAATGAAATAGTATTTCACATTCCTTAAAGGGACATTCCTTGCCAGATCACTTCTCTCCTGATATGGTAGCTATAATCATATATCTTTCCATATTTAGTAAAACACATGAAAATGTTTTGATATGGTCAGTATTGATCATATAAAAATGTAAAACTCATTTCCAGTAAGGCTGCCATCTTTTAAGATTTCATACAGGAAGTGATGTCATCAACTCTCAACTTGTATGACCTTGTCTATAAGATGCAGTATAGACTGTATAGTTGTACAAAATCACTTCTTGACAAATTGTTGTTTATGTTCAAAGATATTTTCAGAACTTGCCAACTGAGAATAAGAGATTTTTAGGACTAAATCACAGGCAAAATTGAACTAGACAACAGCAACGCCAAAGCGTAGCAAATCCCATCGAACAGCCATGGCTGGCATTTTTACAAGCAAAGTATATAGCAAAAATGGCAGCCATTTTGAAAAATGGCCATCTTCTACCAAAAGTGTCATAGACAGTGTGCAATGCTTATAGTATTCACATACCTAATATGAACAAAATCGCTCCGCTACTTTTTGAGTTATAGTAAAATACATTAAAATGGCGGCCATTTTTCAAAATAGCCGCCTTCTACCAAAAGTGTCATTAGACAGTGTGCCATGCTTATAGCATTCACATATAAAATATGAACAAAATCACTCCACTACTTTTCAAGTTACAGCAAAAATCGTGAAATAGCGAGTAAAGGGTGCCATTTTTCAAGATAGCTGCCATGTGCTTCTTTAAGATCTACATTTCTAGCTTTATTAATGTCCTATATAATTTTTTTTACATTTAAAACATATTGCTATTACAGTTTTACATATTTTACCTAAATTACTGTAAAATCGGCACTAGAATGGCCGCCATTTTTGAATGAGTGGCCATGTTGAAAATCGGCTTACGAGCAGAACTTTTACCCCCATAAGGTATATGTTTAAAAAATATGAACAAAATCGGGCCAACGTTGAGTTATTGCCCGGAGGGACGGACGGAGGCGTTCCCTATATCTCTCCGAACTTCATTCGATGGGATAATAAAAATGTTCAGCTGGTTCTGTTATTTTTAATAGTTTCTTACATAATGCTTTATCCAAAGTTGCGGGTTGATGACATAACTTCCTGTGTAAACCTTACTTGATAGCAGCCTACTGGAATTGAGCACTACATTTTTTAGTGATGGTCATACTAGTATCAAAACATTTTCCCATGTTTTGCTAGAAAAGTTCTGGCAAGGAATATATTCCTTACATAATACATCTAAATCATTATCATCTGGGTGGTTAATATTTTCTTCTCTGTATTACCCGAATGCACTTTATTGAAATTCAATGATTCATAGACAGAAAGTGGTATTTATTAGAACATAAAAAGGATCTTACTTTGTAAACTTAAACTTTAAACTAGATCCAGTAGGGATGACAGCTGTGTACCTCTCACCCAGCACAGACGAAGTGACATGATCATCATTGTATGTTTTATCACTGATTGCCACATCGTTGTTTATCACATTATTTTCCTGATGATCATTGTTTGCCTGATCCTTGTTTTCAGCATCATCTCCAGTGTCATCCTGTTCACTTGAATTGTGGCAATAAAACAAATAATTGTCTTGTGAATCATCATCCTCCGATGTGAGTTGATTAACATTGCTACAGCTTGCGCCTGGTGTTGATACATTAACATTGTTACATACATTAAGCTTGTTATGGCTGTTGATTGAGTTTTCAGTTTGTTTCACATGATTTACTTCTTTGACACTTTTATGAATGGATGATGTTACATCCAAATGTTTATGACTAGATGGGAGACTGTTAACTGAACCAAGAGGGTTATGTATTTGTTCAGCAACAGTGGAAGCAGTATCAGGATTAGAATTTATAAGTTGAAATCCATCATGATCACTCTCTGCATTATCAACCCAGGAGTTGTTGTCGACATTTAAAGCAGGATCTGTGGGTGTATTTAGATCACTATGTGAATCTGTCAAACCAGGATCTGTGGGTGTATTTAGATCACTATGTGAATCTGTCAAACCAGGATCTGTGGATGTATTTAGATCGCTATGTGTTTCTGTCAAACCAGGATCTGTGGGTGTATTTAGATCACTATGCGTATCTGTCAAACCAGGATCTATGGGTGTATTTAGATCACTATGCGTATCTGTCAAACCAAGATCTGTGGGTGTATTTAGATCACTATGCGTATCTGTCAAACCAGGATCTATGGGTGTATTTAGATCACTATGCGTATCTGTCAAACCAAGATGTGTAATAGTATTCAGACTACCAATGAGATTAGATGGACTATCTAAGTCATCTATGAGATCACTCTCTAAGTCATCTGTCATATCACTGTCTAATTCGCTTGTGATACCACTAGTGAAGGACAAATGGTTGAGCTGTTCGGCAGCCATAGTTAGTCTCCCAGCTCCCAGTGCATTCCACTTAGGGACTACTTTAAATTAGTGTTGAGACCTCCATGATTAATGTATGGCATATGCTGAAATGAAATGAAGATAAAAAATATTATTATATTATTACACTCCTCAAGGGTCAAGGCGACCAAATAAAAAGCATGTATTTTCAAAACAATTGGTTTATAGACATGAGCCTCACTGGCGGATCTGGGGGGAGGGGGGCTGGGGCCCTTTTTGATCATTACTGGGCCTTTTGAGGCCTTGTTTTTTTAATTTCAGGCCAACTTCTGAAGAAAATGGGCCTCAAAATTTTAAAATTTGGGCCTACTTTTAGCTTATGGGGTCCCAAATTGTTTTAGGATTTTTTTTTCTCTGACCTAAAATTTGGGCCCCCCTGTATTGGTTCCCAGATCCGCCCCTGAACCTCATGGCAACACTTCCCACCTATTAGAAATTACAGGAAAATCTGTATACAGTGAACACCTATGGAGCCATAAAATGTGTTCACTGAAGGTAGGTGTTCATGACAGAAACAATTCTATATAAATCGGTGTTTTAAAAAGGGTATGAAAATTGTAGGTCCCTGAGACCCCACATTTTAAAAAATCTGGGTCCAGGTTCGAAAAAGTGGGTCCGATATATTATTTTATCATCAAAATTCTAGGAAAACCACTTATCTGTTAAACTTGAAATTTGTATAGATGCAAGAGGAGAGTAGTGCCAACATATGTATGTCTTGTTTAACTTCAATTTTAATATTTTCACATATTTTTATTTTGTTTATCCCATTCTTCCTAATTTGTGCCACAAAATTCTAGAATATGCAATCAAAATCAAAATAATCACATGTGTATATCTGAATATAGATGGCATGTGTGTAGACTGACTTCCCTCCAATAACTACTATAAGATCCAAAAGATGGCAGTGTTATACACTTTCTGTTAGAAATAACAGAGAATAATTTTAGCAAAGTCGGCCACATTTTAAGCAAAATGTGCCATTTTTTATCATATTGTTTCACCAAAATAACTGTTATTAAGATAAGTTTAAGTTGTATAAGTTTGATTTATTAGGTTAAACTTGGAGAAAACAAACAATTCAAATCTGCATCCCCAAAGTTAGATATTTTTACGTCCCAGGATTAAAATTTTGCTCAATTTTGCGGAAATGAAAACCCTGTATAGACATCAGCAGAGTATATGTGCAGAGAGAGGTGTTCACTCAGACTGGTCTAACTGTGCATAATTGCTTAAATCAATGCCAGTACACATATATCTATAAAACTGACACCATAAATCATTCACAATTACCAACAATTTGGTATGAATTCATGTATACTTTTTGTAAACTTCTTTTGACATTCATCATCGTTTGTCTTACTTTGCGGGTCATTTTTTGGTAGATCTGCATGTTAAGAAATCTTAATGGCCTCATCCTTATATGCTAGGTCTACAATTTTCAGCACATGTATGAACAGAGTGTATAAATATACCTAAATCAGTTAAAGGTTACTAAGGTTGGTTGGTTGGTTACTATATAAATATTCTATAAGCCACATAAAAAGAGAAAAATAAGTGACCTAAATTTCTTGTACTATAAAAAATAGGTTGCCGTTTTTTTACATGTTCATACTTAGCAGATAATAAACCCTCAACTAATATTTTAGGTACATTTGTGTACACATTGTGCAAAACTGAAAGATGAAGACCATGCATGGAATGGGTTATATGTTTCTGAAAACAATCTTATTAGGAAACCATTATAATTTCTTAAAAAAAATGTTTAGGTAATGCTAAAGTTAATCAAAAGTACAAAAAATGGCAGCCATATTTTTTTGATCAAGTCACAAGATTTTGTGTATCTGTTTTCCTTATATATGAATGCATTTCCTGACTAAAGAGACATGTCAAAGAAAACTTCACATTTAAACACATTTCTTATATCTATGAATTGGAGGTGCATGGGTCCCTAAAAGCTAGCATGGAGAAAGTGATGTGAGGATAACTTTTTAAAATTTCAAGGAGTAGGATTGCAATGGAGACACATTTGTATCAAAGGAGCATGAAAATGTGTGATTCTTGCATTAGAGTAGAATAAAGCTCAAACCATTGTGAATTCTAAATATTTCATGTCCACCATTTTGTTTGGTGAGACTATTTACTAGTACAAAGTAATCCTCACTCATGTATCCATTGTTTATCATCTATAAAGCCTCAATCATGTATCTATCATGATAATTATACCGTTATAGATAAAATATACTAGTGATAATCCATGCCACTTGGTGAAGTCACAAAACTTGTATGAGGATTAATCAGGAAGTCTAGAAGAAGTTCCAGCAAACAAAATGGTGGACATGAAATATTTATAAGAAACTATGGTTTGAGCTTTATTATACTCTAACAAAGCAAGAAGTGCACATTTTCATGCTCCTTCGATGTTCCTTGGTAAATTTTGGATTCTTGCAAATGTGTCACTGTTGCAATCCTACTCCTTGAAGCTTTCAAAAAAATTAGCCTAATTTCACAGTCTTCATGCTAGCTTTGGGGACCCATGCACCTCCAATTCATAGTTATGAAAAATGTGTTTGAATGTGAAGTTTTCTTTGACATGTCTCTTTAGTCAGGAAATGTATTCACAATTGAGGAAAACCGATACAAAATTTTGACTTTACCAAAAAAAAATATGGCTGCCATTTTTTGTACTTTTGATTAACTTTAGTGTTACCTTAACATACAAAAGTAGGTCAAATTGCAAGAGACTAGGCTCTTCATCAAAAAAGTTCATAACCAAGCCAGTCTGGTCCAGTTATCTACATGTACTCCCTGATGACTTCGCATATCTACGACGCCAGGAGTAGATAACTGAGCCAGACTGGTTTATAACTTGGGAAACCACGCTCGTCAACATTATTGCTTACTCGAGTCGGAAGGCTTTGGACCGAAGTAAAATATTGCAACATATTTTGTGCGAGAACACTGATGGGTTTCAAGTCTTTCAATATCACTGTTGTTTCTCTTACCTTAGTTTGCATGAAAACCAAACCACATCAGACATGTCAGAATGATTCATGGTGCAGAATATAAACTGTTATTTTTTACTTATGCATATAGATCTTATCCCGTCTAAATTTACCTAATGATTCCCATGCCTCTGATGTAATACACGATTATTCCTGAATGCAGGACAATAACAAATGTCCAACATTTTGTTATGTAAAGCCTCGTGTTCCACACAGACGAACTACAAAATGGCGGAGCTGACAAACTCTGAACGTCACGTGATCAAATTATCATTGTATAAATTGATGCACATTTGAACAATATAAATCGTATTTTCACCAGCAATTACCTTTATGTGTTGAAACATACATTCCATCACTTATCATACAATTTGTATAGACAACATTTGAACAAATTTTACCAGGCATATTGCAAAGTAGCGAACTCAAGGATGTTCGCTGCTGTCCTGAAAATTGTATGTGGCGTGTCACAATAAGTTTTCACAATCTTGAAATAATTTTTGCAATATGTCTGTTGGAAGAAAGCTTCGATTATTCGACAATCATACCGAATATACGTGAACGTTTAGAGTATTAACATTCCACTATGAGGTGTTGTCACAGAGACATCGATAAAAATGGTCAGGGGTATGTATTCTCGTTATAATTTGTTTTTATTTTTGGCCTATTTTCTTCCCGTTTTCTCCCGCCTGTTAGAGAAAAGAAAGTCTACTGTGAGCATGGGCGTATCATAGAGCTATTTCTATGAGTAGAACGCCATCACGAATTATAGAAGCGTAAATCGAGAGTTCGGTTCGGTGGCTTCTTCCCCAAGAAAATTTTGAAGTTTGGTTGTATTTGGAGTGTATTTGCAACCATCTGGTATGCCTTCGTACAGGGCGCTACGCCTATGGTTTTGATCAACTGTTACACAGAGAGCTATTTGCACACGTTCCATATAGTACGCCACCATGGGAACAAGAGTTGACGCAAAAAACAAGAGTTCAGGGGGGTCTAGGGAGTTCTTCCCCCAAGAAAATCTTGAAATCTGGTAGTATTCGGAGCGAGTTTGCAACCATCTGGTACGCCTGTGTACCCATCGTGCCGGGCGCTACACCCATGGTTGTATTGTTTTTTTTTCTATGATAAAAAATACCTAGATATCAGAGGCTACATTTACCTTTTGACTGAGCTAAAGTATTTAGGCAGTCAAGCAAATGATCAATCTAATCTCTGCCCATCAAAGACAGTTAATTCTGTAATGTAATAAAGCAATTTTGTTTACATTTGATACGTGAACTCATAAGCATGACACACTTACTATGTTGGCTCGTAGGCTGAAATTTTGAAAAATGGCCACCATTTACATACATGTGTGGTGTGTGATTTTGTTCAATTTTATATATGGTTAGTATTGAAAATGTGTAATTTTACGAATAGTAGAACTTGGACTTTGTAAAAATTGTAAAAAGGCAGCATTGCGGCTGTTTAATAGAATTTGCTATGCTTTGGCGTTGCTGTTATCTCATTGTAATCAGGTCCTTATGTAAGTCAAATGAGAGTGGATCAAACCTGAGGTATACAGTCAGTTTTACACCTTCACATTCAGGTCTTAAACTTAACTTAGCTAACATCAAATCAAAATGTAAGTGACAACAGTTTTGCATTTATTAAGGTCATTTGCCACTTTGGCAAGCAGTTGGTCCTCATTATCTTAGAAGTCTCTGAACTGAGTCAACGTCAGACTTTAGTTACCCATCCAAAACCCACTGGTCAAACAGACTGGGGGTTTTCACAAGTGATCAAAGCAATAAAGTACCAACGCATCATAGACGATGCTGAGACAAGAAGGTGGTACGAATCTGTCTTCCCTATTTGTCTGCAGAGGGTTTCCAGCAACACCAGTCAGAACCCTATTGTCCAAGCTAGGACTACAACCCAAGGAACTAAAGAAGGCTCTTAAGTCCATCAGCTCATTAGCAGAGGACAGTTCCAGATGGCTTAAGATCAGAAGAAGAGAAAAGCGGAACCCAAAGGTGCCCCAGTCCACCTAAGTCCTACTAGAATAATGCTTGTTTATGTGGCCCACCACCAGACTACAAGGTTTTCCATGTGTTCACATATTGCGAGGAGTATTCAGCAGGAGGTGCTTACATGGCCGTACCCAACCTCACACTGATATTCAAGCATGTTCTATCTAGTTTCCCCCTTTGGCATGCAATTACAATCCTTAGTCCAGCATAAGTCATGTAGCAAAGCATGACAGGTGTTTAATGAATGAAAAGAAAGAAGAGACCGTGTATGTATAGCTCCTGTTGTTAGTAAGTTGTAAAACATGATGCATTGGACACCTGCTCAAAAGACAGTTGTACTAGCAAAATATGAAAAACGCAGTCAGAGGTGACTGTCACAGCAATAAAACCAAATAACTTTCTAACCATAGTGTTTTGGCACTTCAGATTTTACACAAATTATCCTCATTCAATGTGTGGTGAATTTGTGGATTTTAATCAAAATCACCCCAGGGACTTTACAGTCATGGTCAAAATGCCTTCTTAAGTCTGCCTGAACCAGGGTGTTTGAATGCGATTTGAAAGCATTTCGACCATGATCGACTGTAAAGTCCCTAAAGTGATTTGATTTCACTCTCCACATTTACCATACAGTGAATGAAGATGAATTGTGCCAAATTTGAAGAGCTAAAACACTATGGTTAGGAAGTTATTAAGTTTTTATGTCACCACCAAAAGTGGTGACATATTGTTATGGTCTCCATTTTTATTATGTCACCACCAAAAGTGGTGACATATTGTTATGGTCTCCGTTTTTTTATGTCACCACCAAAAGTGGTGACACATTGTTATGGTCTCCGTTTTTTTTTTATGTCACCACCAAAAGTGGTGACATATTGTTATGGTCTCCGGTTTTTTGCGACGGTGGTTGGAGGTTGGCGTCCGGTGTCTGTAACAAATTCTTACAACTTCCTATAACTTAACAAATACTGTTTAGACTGACTTCAATTTTTTAACTAAATCATCTACATGTTCTCAGAAGTTCAAACCTGACTTTAGATTTGACATTTGACTTTCAATGACCTTCTCAAGGTCAAAAAGGTCTTTTTTCAACTTGCTTCACATTGACTAAATTTTTTTTCAAAATCATCTACATGTTCTCAGAAATTCAAATCTGACTTTAGATTTGACTTTAGATTTGACATTTGACCTTCAAATCTGACTTTAGATTTGACATTTGACCTTCAATGACCTTCTCAAGGTCAAAAAGGTCTTTTTTCAACTTGCTTCAAATTGACTAATTTTTTTTTTTAAATCATCTATATGTTCTCAGAAATTCAAATCTGACTTTAGATTTGACATTTGACCTTCAATGACCTTCTCAATGTCAAAAAAGGTCAAAAAGGTATTTTTTCATCTTGCTTCAAATTGACTAAATTTTTTTTTCAAAATCATCTACATGTTCTCAGAAATTCAAATATGACTTTAGATTTGACTTTAGATTTGACATTTGACCTTCAATGACCTTCTCAAGGTCAAAAAAGGTCAAAAAGGTCTTTTTTCAACTTGCTTCAAATTGACTAATTTTTTTTTCAAAATCATCTACATGTTCTCAGAAATTCAAATCTGACTTTAGATTTGACATTTGACCTTTAATGACCTTCTCAAGGTCAAAAAAGGTCAAAAAGGTCTGTTTTCAACTTGCTTCAAATTGACCAAATTTTTTTTTCAAAATCATCTACATCTTTTCAGAAGTTCAAATTTGACTTTGCAAGTTCTCAGAAGTTCAAATCTGACTTTAGATTTGACCTTCAGTGACCTTCTCAAGGTCAAAAAAGGTCAAAAAGGTCTTTTTTCAACTTGCTTCAAATTGACTATTTTTTTTTCAAAATCATCTACATGTTCTCAGAAATTCAAATCTGACTTTAGATTTGACATTTGACCTTCAATGACCTTCTCAATGTCAAAAAAGGTCAAAAAGGTATTTTTTCATCTTGCTTCAAATTGACTAAATTTTTTTTTCAAAATCATCTACATGTTCTCAGAAATTCAAATATGACTTTAGATTTGACATTTGACCTTCAATGACCTTCTCAAGGTCAAAAAGGTCTTTTTTCAACTTGCTTCAAATTGACTAATTTTTTTTTCAAAATCATCTACATGTTCTCAGAAATTCAAATCTGACTTTAGATTTGATATTTGACCTTTAATGACCTTCTCAAGGTCAAAAAAGGTCAAAAAGGTCTGTTTTCAACTTGCTTCAAATTGACCAAATTTTTTTTTCAAAATCATCTACATCTTTTCAGAAGTTCAAATTTGACTTTACAAGTTCTCAGAAGTTCAAATCTGACTTTAGATTTGACATTTGACCTTCAATGAACTTCTCAATGGCAAAAAAGGTCAAAAAGGTATTTTTTCATCTTGCTTCAAATTGACTAAATTTTTTTTTCAAAGTCATTTACATGTTCTCAGAAATTCAAATATGACTTTAGATTTCACTTTAGATTTGACATTTGACCTTCAATGACCTTCTCAAGGTCAAAAAAGGTCAAAAAGGTCTTTTTTCAACTTGCTTCAAATTGACTAACTTTTTTTTCAAAATCATCTACAATGTTCTCAGAAATTCAAATCTGACATTATTTCAACTTGTTTCAAATTGACCTTTTTTTCAAAATTTCTCAACATTTCAAATCTGACAATATATTTGACCTTCAATGACATTCTCAAGGTCAAAATAGATTTGACCTTTAGTGACCTCCTCAAGGTCAAAAATGTCTTTTTTATCTTGGTTCAACTAGGTGGTGACATTTTGTCATGTTAATGCCTTGTTTGGGGTTGCAGTCACCCCTGGCTGTGTTTTTCATATTTTCTTAGTACAACTGTCTTTTGAGCAGGCATCCAAGGCATCATGTTTTACAACTAACCATCTACAGGAACACCCTGTACTAACATTTTGGTACTCTAGCTGATCCCCCTGAGAACCGATATATATCGGCAATATAGCCACTCCTTCCTTATAGTATCAAAAGTCAGTTATTTCAATTAAAGAATATTTTGAGGTCATATCATTGCTTGTCATGTCTATTTTCTAAAAATCCCCAAAGCATATACTGTATTCTAGGAAAATGGAAGAAATGTTCTGAAATGATTTGTTCCATCCCATTCCTAATCATTTGTACCTATTTTCAGCCATGTTGTTCTTATCCCCGAGGAGCCAGAGGACATGTGGCATGCCTACAACCTAGTAGCAGTGTCAGATACACTCAGGTCAACTACTATTAGGTAATGTAACAGTGTCAGATACACTAAGGTCAACTACTTTAAGGTAATGTAACAATTTCAAAAAAAAATTTATGGTGAAGTGGCTTTGAGACTTTGACTTTACTTATAACACTGGGCTCCTATGAAATCTTCAGGCATATATTCATGGACAATTGTAAATATGAAATACTTCTTAATTGACCCTTGACCTTTACATCTCAAAATGTCTGTCTTTTGATTAAGTGAATTTAGTCTGGATGTGAAGTGCCATATTTTAAGTGAAGGTGGAAATGCTTATTATATGAACTTTTTTTGCATTTTCTGTTTAAACATGATATCCATAATCAGAAACTGTCGGATGCCCAACGGGCATCCTTGAGGAATTTTTTTGGCGGCCATTTTGAATTTTCACACATTTTATGTATTTTAGCCAGCATATTAGAACAGAAAACTAGCATATACATAAACAAATCTCGCTGTTTTTTTCTATAATAGAGTTTTAATATGATGTTTACCAATATGTTAGGTTCCAGAAATGTTTCTTGACAAAAATAAAAAAATTCAAGATGGCCGCCAACCGTACAATTTATTAAATGTCTCATTCTGGGATAATATCAAATTGATATTAGTGTTTTCTACAAAATTATCAATAAATAATACTAAATACATCTGATTATGATCTCTTTCTCACATATAAAATATCTGAAATGAGTAAAAAGTAACCTACATAATAATAATGATGTTCCACAAGGGTCATATCTTGGTGCTATATATATCTTGAATTTATGAATTATCTTCTTTTACTAAGATTTCATCAAGGATTTTCCTCAATAAATCCTCATCAGTTTCTTCCAATTCCTGTTCAGTTACTGCCTTTGTATGTTTGTTATTGCATTCATTCCCCTTGCAAACACAGAACAATGTACATGATAAAGATGCCTTGGAGCATGAACATCGCCCAGTTCCACATACATTGCCCTCTGATGCACATGTGCACTTAATGAGCTGGAGAATTCCTTCAGGGGCACAGGGTATGTCCTTGGGCATTGTTGTTGGGACAAGTGAGCCCGTGCTGTTAATTTCCCAACCATAATCCGTTGGAGGGATAAGTGGGGGGTCGACAAATTCTGTTGAAGTTTTCTCAACTTCAGTCATGTCTGCATTGACATCTCCCAAGTTAGCGAGTGAGTATCTATTTAACACTTTCAGGACTGTTAGCTTGCCAATTCTATGCATGCAAAATGTCGTATCACTGCCAGAGAGACCATGCGCAGCTAACAAGTTTGGTATTTTTAATTTGTGTTCATTTACGGTTGCATTAATGTTAATGTTTGCTCGGCCAGATGATGTTCCCTCCATTATGATGTTATTTTCCATTAACTTGTGCTTGAGACAGTGATGAAGAAGTAGAAGGAAAACATCAGTATCATCACTGAGTACACTGATATTCTGTTGGCCTTTCTGGCAGCATGCAGAACCTGGTGTACAATAACAACATCTTCTTGAGTGGTCCTTAAGTCATCATGTTGGTCAATATTGCCTTTGTGAATTTGTACAGGTGTTGGATCAGGACCTGTGATAACAAGGATGTTGGAGAATGATCCTTCACTAGCTTTTTGAGCAAGATGGTCGATGACACACTTTATCAACTGGACCTTGTTCTCAGTCACATTCAGAACAACATTCTGTACAGGGAGAGGTGTGTCAGAGCTGAACTTATGCACTCTACTGGCTGATTGAGCTCGAGATGACCTGGTGCTGTTCTTTATGTTATTGTCTTTATATCTGTCAAAGATAAGGTATACATCTGATTCGGTTAGGAGTCTCAGGATGTACTTAGTGAAAGCAATACAGAAGTTTTCAATTTTGCCAGCCATTGGCCATGTTATGATCCAAAGGATGGCACACCCATCAACGACACGTACATTGTAATTGTTTCCTCTTGAGGTCACCTCAATCTGTAACTTTTGTTTCAGTGTTGATTTTGAAGTTGTGATATTAATTTCTCCATTTTCATCAAATAGTGATGATGGAGGGAACATCATCTGGCCGGGCAAACATTAACATTAATGCAACCGTAAATGAACACAAATTAAAAATCCCAAACTTGTTAGCTGCGCATAGTCCCTCTGGCAGTGATACGACATCTTGAATTTTTTTTTGTCAAGAAACATTTCTGGAACCTAACATATTGGTATACATCATATTAAAACTCTATTATAGAAAAAACAGCAAGATATGTTTATGTGTATGCTAGTTTTCTGTTCTAATATGCTGGCTAAAATACATAAAACGTGTGAAAATTCAAAATGGACGCCAAAAAATTCCTCAAGGATGCCCGATGGGCATCCGACAGTTTCTGAATATGGATATCATGTTTAAACAGAAAATGCAAAAAAAGTTCATATAATAAGCATTTCCACCTCTATTGGCTCTACATCCAGACTAATTGGTTAATTGATTAGTTATCGCTTCTAGGCTTGTTGCACTGAACAATACATCGACAATCTGTTGGAGAGCATTATTTTTATGCTCAGGCTTCCATTATTAGTAACCCATATTCAACCTCAGTGTCAAGATATGATAGGTCAGGTCATCCCTATGAAAGTACAAATGTTTGATTGCGTTGCAGGAAGGTTCAGACTGAATCAGCTACAGGAAGCACCAGCAGTAACAAAGTGCGCACAACACTGACGATTAGTGTAGAAGCCATAGACTTTGACACACAGGCCTGTGTACTCCGTGTGAAAGGAAGGAACATACAAGAGAACCAGTATGTCAAGGTATGGCGGAAGTAACATGGTATATGATCAATAAGATTAAGAATTGTAGATTATTTCAATATATGAGTACTGTTCTCTACTGTTTTTTTATTCATTATTCCACAATTATTATGATACTCATGGGTTAGGCTATCATGTCAAAATAAAAACAGTGGTGAATTTCATAATGTCATGGTTGCTTTGTGTTAATGTCCTGGTTGCTAAAGTGAGGGGTTTCTCACTCTATTATTGGAGCCCTTGGATGTATAAGAACTCTTGACTGATTTGCTTTTCAGGAACTGGATGTTACTAACATACATAGAATATTTGGAAAAAACAACCTCCTCCTTGGTCTTTATAACCATGTAGGGACCATTGAGACTGGGGGTATCCTGTACCATCCCTAGAACAAAGTCCTAGAGATGGGACAATATTAGTAGTCAGGAATATTTAGGTGAAAATATTTCAAAAATATATAGAAGCAATTTTAAGGTGGATTTCAAAACTTCATACCATTCTTTTGAAAACCTGAAGTGGCACCAAGCAATCCATTGACTTTTTCACCAAAAATCCAAGATGGCCGCCACAATGTATCGAAAAATCATAAAAATTGACTAAAGTTGTAATTTAATAAGTCAAAATAGTTGTATACTGATCAAACATGACTTATAATAGTACTTATTAGATGTTCATATGCAGTTAAAGTCACTGGATCATTTTTGTATGAAAACTGGAGTCCCACAAGGCTCAATTTTATGTCCCCTACTTTTTTTGTCTAATGACTTGCATTGACCATGGCATTTGCACATAGCAGTTGATACTTATCCATTTTTGAAATGTAAGCGCTCAGGACCACATTTCACCTTGCACCCATACTTGACTAATGCTTGGCATGCCTTGGCTGCTTGAGGAAGGGATGTCAATAGTGGCACCAGTAGAGATATGTCATACTTCCAGCCCCATGTTGTGAACTCCTATACCAATTTTAGATGGAGATTGTACAGTTGCCCTCAAACAATACCACCTTGGTTAGCAAGTTCTTAAGATTTTCTGAGCAAGGCCTCTTTTTGTTGTTGGTATTCTGTCAATGACTGTATGGCCGTCACAGAACATTAGCCTTCATGCTGCATTGATATCTATCTGGTTGCTGGTTCGATCATATAATAGAACAGTAAAATAGTCTAGGGACTGAATGGTCTGAATTTACAAAACCAGGTTTGTTGTAAGCATTTGTGCCACTCTTTTGTGGAAAAGCTGGAGTAACTTCCTTGAACACATTCCATAGCTTGAAGGCAGATCCTTTGCTATGGCCAAAGAATGATGCAGTTAATATAATTTAATATCTGTAATTTTTGAGAGGTTCGAAGGCAATCCAGATTGGCACTTATTGGGCCCTAATTATTATTATTATATCTTGGTTACCGCCATATTTGGCGAGCAATACCTCATTGGTATATTCCGTGCTTTACATATTTTACACTCGAAGACAGAGCCAGAAACCCCTCCTTGGAGGAGCCCTGTGTTCTTTTGTGTGCACAGGTACACAGACATACAGGTACACACCACAGCCTTTTATACGAGTCGTGAACCACTCAGTCAAACACCCAGTATTACATGACGCACAAACAAACTTGTCTGAACAGGGAATCAAACCCGGGGCCAAGCGATATTGGTAACCTTGACTCTGCCACTGAGCCATAGCGCGTGGACTAATGCTGCAGCCATGGCAAGAACAACTACATCAGTATCTCCACTTCTGATTATGAAGTCTTTTTTTCCCTCTGAGGTCATCTGTTTTACATGAACAAAGAGTCTAGAATCAACATCTTCATGAGTACAAGGTTCAATCATTGCTGTATCTGGCAAGTGAGGAAATCACTGAACAGATTCCACAATAGTAGTTATCATTTGCTTGTCATTTACATCAACCTCAAAAATAGAGTTGGCCAGGAATGCTAACAGCTCAGTCTTGTTCTGGCCATTTCTTAGAAAGCCTAGCCAACTCTTGGGCATCGGATTCTCTGCATAAACCATCCAGTGCCACGATGAATCCTTGTCAGGGACTTCCCACTGTTTTGTTGGTAGACATCCCAGATAGCATCTAATCTTGAAACACCTTCCATAAGCTGCCTTAACTTGGGATGAGACATTGGTAGCATATTCTTGGAAGTTGGTAGCCACACCAGGACGCATCACATTGACCAGAAAGGTGCCATCTATTAAAATTGCATCTGCAGGTTTTTTCCAATACTTCAGATCCATCTGGCTTAGCTTCTCAACATTTAAGTACATGTAAGTCTGTTTCTTTGTAGGTCTCATGGCTCCGTGCTTAGCTAAGGATGGCCGGAACTCATGTTTTTCATGTTTGAAAAACTCAGACATGTCAACGTGTCTTGATTGGCATCCCGTCATCCCTAGCTAAGCACAGAGCCATGTGACCTACGACAGACTAACTTAAATGTCTAGAAACTGGTCCTTTCATCTTTCAGTTAAGGTAGCTTATGGAAGGTGTTCCTAGATGTTGTCTGGAATGTTTACCTACAAAACAGTGAGAAGTCCCTAACAAGGATTCATCGTGGCACTGGTGCTAGATAGATAGTTTATGCAGAGAATGCGATGCCTAAGAATTGCCCAGCTTTTCTAACAATCAACGGAACAAGACAACAAGAAACTGACACGAGACTCTTTGTTCATATAAAACATAACCTCAGAGGGTAAAAGACTTCACAATCAGAAGTTGAGATACTGATGTAGTTGCTCTTGCCATGGCTGCAGCATTTAAGGGCACAATAAGTGTCAATCTGGATTGCCTTCGAACCTCTCAAAAATTACAGGTATTAAATTACTAGTATATTATATAAGCTTCACCATTCTTTGGCCATAGCAAAAAATCTGCCTTCAAGCTATGGAATGTGCTCATTGAAGTTACTCCAGCTTTTTTTTACAAGTGGTACAAATGGTTACAACAAACCTTGCTTTGTCAGTTCAGGCCATTCAGTCCCTAGAACACTTTACTGTGTTCTATTATATGATCGAACCAGCAACCAGATAGATATCAATACAGCACGAATGTTCTGTGATGGCCATATAGTAGAATACCACCAACAAAAGGAGGCCTTGCTCAGAAAATCTTAAGAACTTGCTAACCAAGGTGGTATTGTTTGAGGGCAACTGTACAATCTCCATCTAAAATTGGTATAGGAGTTCACAACATGGGGCTGGAAGTATGACATGTCTCTACTGGTGCCACTATTGACATCCCTTCCTCAAGCAGCCAAGGCATGCCAAGCATTGGTCAAGTATCGGTGCAAGGTGAAATGTGGTCCTGGGTGCACACATTACAAAAATGGATAAGTATCCACTGCTATGTGCAAATGCCATGGTCAATGCAAATCATTAGACAAAAAAAGTAGGGGACATAAAATTGAGCCTTGTGGGACTCCAGTTTTCATACAAAAATGATCCAATGAATTTAAATGCATATGAACATCTAATAGGTTTTATTATTAGTCATGTTTGATCAGTATACAACTATTTTGACTTATTAAATTACAACTTTAGTCAATTTTTATGATTTTTCGATACATTGTGGCGGCCATCTTGGATTTTTGGTGAAAAAGTCAATGGATTGCTTGGTGCCACTTCAGGTTCTCAAAAGGATGGTATGAAGTTTTGAAATCCACCTTAAGATTGCTTCTATATATTTTTGAAATATTCTGTGAACTTATCTCCTATTCAAACCCGACTATAGGAAACCATGACATGTCTATGTCATATTTGCACCTTGTTTATTTATTTCTAGATGGGGGCATACCATACATTGGATCTGGAGATGAACAGAAAGTTTACACTCGCCAAACATGAGTGGGATACTGTTGCCATAGAACGTATAGGTGAGCATTCATTCTTATCAACACCAGCATGTACACATTAAACAACACTTTTTTATGTTTTTCCTTGTGTTTTGCATATTTGGAAATTAAAATAAATATTGAAACTTATTAAAGAATTGCATTGTACATTTTTAGGGGGGGGGGTGAGAATTTTTGCAGGAACTATGAATTATATTAGGGAAAATATTGAAAAGTCACCAATGAGAGAATAAAAACACTTAACGATTGTTTCTCAATTGACAGATCAGGCTTGTGACCCTACCCAGCATGCCGATCTGGCTGCCGTTGTGATGCAAGAGGGATTGGCCCACGTGTGCCTGGTCACTTCAAGTATGACTTTAGTCAGGGCAAAAATAGATGTAAATATACCTCGGAAGAGGAAAGGTCTTTGCAGTCAACATGATAAAGTAAGAAATATTATAATACACATACTCCATGAATGCTATAGTTCTGAAAAGATTTTATTTATGGAATAGATTAAATAATATCTCCCTTTTGCAAGAGGTAAAGATAAACTTAAGTTTTTCAGTTGCTGTTCATCATTCCTAAAGGCCTAACTTTAAATCGAAATAACTGAGTATTACTTGGAAAATTTAATTTGTTCATATTCTCTTTATAGTAATGCTAGTTATGTTTCTGATATTTAAGACTACATGTTTCATTGCAGGGTCTAACAAAGTTTTACGACCAAGTCATCCAAGCCATAATGAGACATGTTAACTTTGATAGTAAGTATAGGAATAGATGGTATAAATCCAAAAAAGAAATTAACTTATATCATTTCACTTGGGCTATTTAAAGTTAATTATGCATTTAACATCTTGTTTGAAGGCCAGATCTGAGGAATCTTCTACTCCTTTTATTATTTTGTAATGTGATCTGAATTGTCATTTCATGTCATTCAAAGTCTTAATTATGGCAATTTTGTTTGTTTTCTGATATATGCTTCCTATTGATTGATCATAGGAGGGGTATGATAGACATATATTTAATTTTGAATGGCCGTACGGTATTTGAATAAGATTTGTAATTTCCAAATAGAATCATTGTATTATGTTTCCTGTTGACATACTTCATCAAATCATTTTCAGAAAATTGAGTAACTTTTATTTAACACCTAATGATTGGATATAACATTAAAATTCTTGTTAGAAGTAACCACATGAAGCTGAATATTGTTGATTTAATTTGTCATGTAATTAATCTCAAATATTGTATTTTCAGTTGTGAAATGTGTCATCATAGCAAGTCCAGGTTTTGTAAAGGACCAATTTCATGAATACATGTTTAACATAGCACAGAAAATGGACTATAAACTCTTAAGTGAGAATAAATCTAAGTTTGTATTGGTGCACTCTTCATCCGGTTTCAAACACTCTTTAAATGAAGTACTGGCAGACCCAGGGATCACAGGGAAGTTGGCAGACACAAAGGCTGCAGGGGAAGTGAAGGCATTGGAGAGCTTTTACACTATGCTCCAGACTGAACCTGATAGGGCATTCTATGGGTATGTACTATTGTATCAGCTTGAATCAAACTTGGTCTATAACCTTTACCATATCTTTGAAGGCTTGGACACAAATGTGCCTCTGTTTCTTCAAATTGTCTCTTTCTATATTTGGTATTAGGGTCATAAAACAGTCTAATTTGCGAGGAAGATATTTATATAGTATGCACTTAAAAGAGCATTCATTTGATTTTGTCATTTCTTAACAGTCAAAGAGTGTAAAACTACAACCTTCTTAATCTATACTCAAACAAATTTCTTCATTATACTCTAAGTTATATTTTCATTTCTGGAGTATGAGATGGAGAGTATTTATTTTTTATTTTTTGCATTTACACGAGGGGAAAGAGTACCCGTGTATATACAACCTACCGCCGAGCAAGACACGCACATACCGCCGAGCAAATGTTTGATAATGTCATCTCGTAGGAAAATGGACAATAAAGGTAATATAATGTCACTAACAATTCCTTTGGATGGTTAGAGTTGTTACTAAGATGTTTTAGCAGGCGCAATTGGCCTAGAATTATAGTTGAAATATATTTTTATGTCCAAATTAAGAGATAAGGTAAACGTGTAATGGTTTTCGATTTGTTTTTCTAATTCATACTCGCTTTAATTGATAATGAGCCATACATAAGACATACTTGGGTCGGTAAATGGATGTACATATGCATAATATATTAAGTGTCAAAATATTAGGTCAAAATAGCACTTTTGAACAGCAAAATCTTCACTTAAACTTTGTCCTAAAAGATCCGAGGTTATCGGACATCGGACCCGATGTGATCGACGAGTAATATTATAAAGATCCGAAAATATCTTGAGTAAAGGATCTCAGAATCCGAACATTACTTGAGTAAAATCTGTTGAGATCCGATTATATCGTCGAGTTTTTGACGTGCTGATGAAAAAATAATAAACATACAATCTGCATCATTTGTGAATCATTTTGTTGTGAACAATAAATGAAACTGAAAAAAATATGGCTATCACCAGTTACCACTGCACATCGAAACATTGTATTTCAGGTCCTCGGTACAAATGCTCCCACTGTAGTTATAAATCACTTCAGTCAGCACCATCCATTACTGAGTATTAAAGTTAATGTGCCTGAGTTAAATGGCAAAAAATGGATTTACAATGTTTTTGACTATGGTATTGTATTATCAAAGAAAGATCACGGTAATTTTTCGTTTCGAGGATATGAAGCTTGTGAAGCTTGGGATTCTTCAAGTTGTGTTCTTTGAGTAGAATGGCGCTTGCAATGCAGAATTAAATGTTTTTGGGTTGCACTCTTACCATAGACACATAGGAAATTATGGTGATTCAAGTGTAAGCATGAATTCAATGTTTTAAAGAACTTTGCCGGAAACAGACGTTGACGCATAGTGCTGCAGGAACTATATCATATTATATTATATCCCGGTGCCAGGAGTATATGATAAATAAAAGGAATATTTGTGATATCGTCATGATATTATATGCTCATTCGAAAGCTTACTCACTAACTCATCGGGTTCTACTCATGGTATAGTCGGAATAGCTCGGTGGTAGCTTCGGGTCCTATATAATCGTACTCGTGACATAATCGGGTCTTTCATTTTCAACTTTCACCGGTGATTTCAATGATATGCAGCGTATGGCAGTGAAATAAATATGATACATTTACACCTATTGTATCTTTGAATCGAATGAAGTAAAGACAGCCATGGTTGTTACTTATTCAAGATGTAAATCATCATTCAAATATTTAAAAGTTGAATTTAGCGATTGGATAGTAAACATTGCGCTAAGTACTCATTATTTTGCAAACATGAGTGCCTGGAACAATAACTTTATCAGTTACACACAATTCTGTGTTTTATCTGTTTCTCATATTGAGAAATTCAAGATATAAACAAAAGTTTATAACTCACCCCCTACATTTTCAGACATCTTCGGGTCTTTGCTCGGCGGTAGGTTGTATATACACGGGTACTCTTTCCCCTCGTGATTTATATGTATATTTATGTATTTCAGTGTGAAAGATGTGGAGAGAGCCTGTGAACAGCAAGCTATAGAAACTTTGCTCATAACAGATGAATTGTTCAGGTAAGGAAAACAAACATGGCCCAAGTGTACAAAATTTAAATTATTGATTGTGGATGGGGGATGGTCGATATAAAACATATTTATATGTAGAGTTGGATAGATTCAGGCTTTATCCTTATTAAACAAGCCATTGTAATTAGAAATCTATTTGTAGTTTTTATTGGTGGCAGATTGTGGTATGTCTTTAACAATATATTCATACTCTCTCAAAACAATTGTATTCCTCCTATAGATTAACGTGTACATGTAATTCCATTATTGCTGTTTGCCATTTGTTAACAAGCACCCTAATTTGCATTTCAGATCACAAGACATAGCTGTTAGAAAGAGGTATGTTAAACTGGTGGATGCCTGTAAGGATCAAGGGGTTGAAGTGAGGATATTCTCCAGTCTGCATACATCAGGGGAACGTAAGTTAACAACTTTACTAATAAATTCAGCCCCTTGTGGAAATTAGGGTATATCGGGTAGATTTGTGGTGTCATTAACTCATCATCTTTCTAAGCAGGTGTCCAGAATCCGTACCTCCTTCTTCCCCCCTGCTATAATTTGGAAGCGCTCGATTAAACTGAATCACGTGATCTTATTATGCGCAATGACTTATAAATGATTTCTGTCGCAGTGTTGCGACAGCCAATCAGATTGCAAGTTCTTAATCGGGGAAATGCTAACTGCTTATTGCAGGGGGTAAAAAGAAAGAATATATTCTGGATTTTGAAGCCCTGTGAACAGAGGTTGTTGACTCTTATTTATTTATTTATTTGTTTGCATAGTAGTTTATTCATCAATTATATCAATGTTCAATGTACAGGAAACTGAAACCTATACGTTAAAGAAGTTTTTTGAACATTTACAATAAATTGAATCTTCGTATATGCCCTGAAACTGTAGGAATGACATCATAACATGGCATGATTCACTGGATTGGTGTTTTCAAAGTTTGGCTTAATTTTCATGATAAAGTTGAGTTATTTGTGTCAGTGTAAATGAATGGGAAGTTAGTACTTCATTCCATTCATTGTATGAATATTTTGTGATCAATTTGTGTCGCTTCAGTGTTGTACATATTATTTCAGAGCTCGATCAGATTTTAGGTCTTCTATTTTGTGATTTCAGAGCTTGGTCAGATGATAAGTGATTTGTTTATGATTTCAGAGCTTGGTCAGATGATAAGTGATATGTTTATGATTTCAGAGCTTGGTCAGATGACAGGGGTTGCTGCTATATTGAGGTTCCCAATGCCAGAGGCTGAGAGTGATGATTCATCCAGTGATGAAGAATAGACAATCAGAATATCTAGGAAACAAAGACGATTTCACATCACTTTCTAGTATGTTTTGAAAATGGAGATGGGCTGGCTATTCACCAATAGAGAACAGAGGCATTGTCTAATGCTATTTTACATGGAGAAAATCGCAATATTTCGCATTGGATTAACAAACAACATTTTACCCAAATTAAAATTTGAAAAAAGCAATGGATACAATCTGATACATCAACTGTGGATGTAAATCAAATTTCTACTATTCAAGAAAACACATGTAGTTACAAGCATTGTGACATTTAGTATAATGGATAAAGAGGAAGACGAGTAAATACCCAGTCAACAATATGGAGACATTCATCATTAACAACAGCTGACGGAGAACTACATTGAGGAGATTTGCAGGCAAACATCCCTCATTGAAATAACATGGTGAACAACAATGACATATTTACTAAGAAAAAGAATTTGCAAAATTGAATGTCAGATACATCCAGAGTAGGAGAGTACCCCAATTAATTTGAGACTGATATGCATTTTTCTTATTTTTGTCATTTTTAGGCAAATCCATTTGGATATTTGGATAAAAAATGTCATGAATAAGAAAAAAACAAATGAGCCTCATATATATAGGGGTAATCCAGAGAAAATTTGTCTAACATGCTTTTGAGTTTAAATTTGAGTGTGTCAAATCCACCATGGTGTTCTCTGTTCCGGGATATTTTAGTACTTTATAGTTAAGGACTAACAAAACTCCTGTGTGCCAAAAATGGGTTGTCAAAAAATTCTAAAAATATTTAACTTGACACTCATTTTTGCATGCAGGATGTGGACTAGACACACCATCAATAGACACACATTCACCCATCACCTCTTATTCAATGTTCCAGTGCAAACTTTTTTCTTTTAAGTACTAAAAAAACATCAACCAAATTAGTGAATGTACTAAACAGTTGATTTTATATGTTTCCCTCCTCTTCATTTGTATCATTAGGCGACTCATTACATTAGAAAATGTAGTTTATTAATTCTCCGTTACACATCTCGTCTATTTTTAAACTAAAAAAGGATGAACCTCATATTATGAAGTTTCACCCCATTATTGCAAATCAGAATTTGAGATAATTCACTATACGTTATCGTGAATACAAACAACTGTAACACTACAATTCATACTAATAATTATTGTTATTTATTAAGGTGTTCATATTGAATGACCATTTGTTATGTTATATGTATGTTTGTTGTTCTAGTTAATTAAGCCTAATTAAGAGTATAAAGCATAGTGAAATATATTTAGTTATTATCACACTTGTGGTGTGGTATTTGGAGCTTGCGTTGATTTCAGATGTTTCAATTTTTTCAATGTACTCAATGGTAAGGAATGTGTTCATGAATAAACATGTTTATTTCTTTCAATTAAAGGCTGATTTCTTTTAAAAACATTGCACATTAACAAAATGTAGTGGCTTGTGCCCCCTCACCTTCTGCAAACATCAAACATACTGGAAGGAAATTCATTTGTCTATCAGAATGAAGTAATAATCTTTAAATCAGCAGAGGCAAGGCTTGTCCAATCAGGTTGATGTGGAGATCTGACTTGTGAAGAATATTTGATATGAAAAGCTAGTATGAAATTATTCTACGTCAAATATCCACTAGAATTCACTATGTATTCTTACCTTGTTATGGTTAAATTCAGTGAATGTGGAGATCTGTTTTTCAAGAATATTTGAAATGAAAAGCTAGTATGAAATTATTCTACGTCAAATATCCACTTGAATTCACTATGTATTCTTACCTTGTTATGGTTAAATTCAGTGAATGTGGAGATCTGTTTTTCAAGAATATTTGAAATGAAAAGCAAGTATGAAATTATTCTACGTCAAATATCCACTTGAATTCACTATGTATTCTTACCTTGTTATGGTTAAATTCAGTGAATTTGGAGATCTGTTTTTTAAAGAATATTTGACATGAAAAGCAAGTATGAAATTATTCTACGTCAAATATCCACTTGAATTCACTATGTATTCTTACCTTGTTATGGTTAAACTCAGTGAATGTGGAGATCTGTTTTTCAAGAATATTTGAAATGAAAAGCAAGTATGAAATTATTCTACGTCAAATATCCACTAGAATTCACTATGTATTCTTACCTTGTTATGGTTAAACTCGGTGAATCATTGGGGTATTTTCTTAGAATCTTGTTGAAATATTATTAAATTATCATGGACAGAATCATGTTGTCAATTTATTGTGTGATTTTAATGTAATTTATATATATTTCCATTGCTAATTTCCGAGTAAAATTTGGCTTATGAAAAACAAGTAATGACTTGAGTTTTAATGATTTAAAGTAAACTTTACTATGAATATAATATGAATAAATTAAGATGAAACGTAATAATATAAGATGTTGATCTTTTATGTTGCCACTCAAGAGATGGTAACATCTCATTTTGATTTTAGTATACTACCAGAAGGGTCTATGCATTCACATTGCTTTTATGTCACCACCACGCGTAGTGACATATTTTTGAAGTCTCCAACTTTTTTTGTGGATGGTACTCGGCGGTTGGTGTCTGTAACAAATGGCAGGTTGTAACATTTTGGATGTTAATGCCTTGTTAAACATGAAACTTGTATGAAAAAGCACACTCTAGCTAAAGTTGTGGTGCAGTAAATAGTCATAGAGTCCTGTTATTGACACAATGCTGAACGTCTCAAATAATCCTGTGCTGTTCTTATCACACTGAAATCAGTGTGTTAAAAACATTGTCATCGTCTTTGTGCAGGTCAGTCTTGGTAGCTGGATGGATACTGCATCTCAACTTGTTTCTGAAGTGATGAGTTACACTCACTATGTACTTCTATGTATGACCCTCAACTTGCTCATTAAAAATTCTAAACATCTCCTAAAATATCAAAATATCTGATTGTCATGAAGTTACATAACTCCACAAGTCTAACAGCTATTTTTAATGATATTTTCTATGTAAATACAGCCTTGTCTAATGTTCACAAGATGGGATTTCCTATGTATTGCTGCTATCTAGTTATAGAATAAGTTGCTAAACCAGAACTCAATATTGGAATATCACTACATGTTTGCATCATATATAAATGTTGGCTGCAGCAAGAATCAATTATCAGATTAACTGATAAATAATTTAAAGCAGGTTCAGTCTATAACGTCATGAAAGTAATGTGTTGAATAAAGTTGCTCCCAATATATGTGGAGATATATGTAAAACTGTTGAGGAAAAGGGTGAATAATTTTAAAGTAATATTTTGAAGTCAAACATACTCATCAATTTATTTTGTCAAAAAATGAAATTCATGTATTTTGTTAAGTGAGGTGTCAATGACCCTTCAATTTTTTTTCAAAATCATCTACAAGTTCTCTCTGACTTTAGTATTGAAATTTGACCTTTGGTTGACCGTTATTGACTTTTGAAAGGTTGTGACATTTTGTCATGTTAATGCCTTGACAACTAAATTGCTTACACCCCCAACCCAATCACACAGAATCCACGTGGAAACATCGTGATCAACGTAGAAACATTGTGGATCCACTACCAGGGCATATGGTTTGGCTGTGTAGTATCAATGAAACATTTCTAAAGAAGGTGGTGGTGTTGTGTAACATAGGCACAAATCCGCTGTGTTACTAGGCTTTTTGCTAGAATATATCGTAACAAAACAACTTATCCTGCTGTGTAATAGAGGGTACCATTGAAACATTTGAAAGAATCCAATAAATGTAGTACCCAAGGGGAAGAATTGATCTTCTACCGCAGGGAGAATTGATCATTAAATAATGAATGACACAATCTATAGCTAAGAGATACTATTATGTTATTGACTCAACCTAGCAATAAAATCTCATACATCATTTAGAATCATTTGTAATCCCTCGGTTTTTCTTAACATGAATAAGGTTCCAATTTATCTCCTCTAATGTGGCATATTATAAGTCCATCTTTATTTCCTGCTTATTCAATAGTTTGGTTATAATATGGATGCAGCAAGTGTATTATATTGTTGTTTAATTAATGGCAATATTATGGCATTAGAATTGTTTGTTTTCACAATGTCTTAAGAGCCCTGAGAAAACATCACTACTCTCTCATGATCTCAAATATCTTTGAAAGAATTAATTTTGCAGGAATATGAAATACATACTTGGCTATATTCATACTCTAATTCAAATCCTCATTCAAACAGAGTAATATACAGTAAAACCTGTCGAAACAGAACATCATAGGGACTGACCAGAAGTGTTCTGATTAGCTAGTGTTCATATTTTAAAGTATATGTTAATGTGTGAGTCAATGGGGGATTAAAATTGAGACAGAGAAAGTGTTCATAATAGAATCTGTTCAGAGTGGAGGGGTGTTGGCATATACAGGTTTTACTGTGAAGTAAATGTAACAATCATTTCATCAAAGAATTCTATTGCTGGCAACCGTTTGTTGACTGAATGTTCTAATGGATCATAAGTTATTGATTATGTTGTCGAGATCAAGCCGCAGCTTATGTGGAAAATATCAACATCAGAAACTGACTATTTGATTTGATAACAATAGGAACTTTCATTAAACATCAACACATAGTGATTAATATAGGGAATCGTTTTTATTAATATTCACTTAGGAAGAACTAACATTCTTAAAGAATGAATTTCTTTATTGTATGCGTTCATAAAATATATGAATAAAAGAGAATATGTGAATTAAATGGAAGTAACGACCCCACGAGGTTCTAAAATCTGGAGCACATGTTTGGATAACTGATCTTTCATTTACATGTTGGTAATGAGTTGAGTAAAGACATCCATATAGTCAGCGATACAAAGAGATTTAATAAGATGGGTAAGTTCAGGATTGTTTTCCTAGCTTGTTATCAGAATATTTCAGATCATGCATTTTTTGAATGCATAAGGGGCTTTTAAATATTGGAAAGATTATGGTAGATGCCTTTCCAAATTAGTTTTGGAAAGTGGTTGCGATGCTAAACTCGGAGCTGTCATGTTTGGTCTTGCGGAAATGTCTTGAGAGAGACAAGGGATTTCTACCGAGGCCCTTATAAGTCAGATGAAATCATGTTTACAGAATAACATTTAAAGCCCCCATATAAAGTTGAAACCACTATGACTTATATCATGCTCTTATCCAATGTTATCAAAGTGTGATATGTGAAACATTTTTTTCTTATTTGTTAATTTCAAGTTTTTGAAGGACTTATTGTTCAAAAAATTGTGAATTTATGTAAAACTTACTTTAAGAGGTCACACATATCTTTTAATAAGCGATAATTCACACCAATGCATAGCATTCATCCTCACTTGTTTTTTACTGAAATAATTGAGAAAGTCAATGTATAAATAAGCAAGAAATAAACTCGTACATGCATGAAAATAGTTCCGAGAAAAATGCATTTCAAAATTTTAGTTCTCATAGAAACCAATGGTACAATAATATTTTAAAACATAATATATTCTTCCTTTAAATCTGGCTAGAAAATCAACATTGGTTTATTTTTCAGCATATTAAGAAAGCTTGACATAGGAAATTTTGCTGAAACGTTGAAGTGGCACATTAGATATGACATTTTATTATTGAAATAGTGTGTCCTTTGTTCAATCTTTGCATTGGTGTTAAATTGATAATGTGATAGTGATCTGCATGGTGAAAAATTTTTACAATTTTGCAAAGAAGACGCTCAATTTTTTACATTCTAGAGAAGAATTAACACTCAATTAATAATCTGGGTGCACTAAAGCACCTTTTATGAAAAAATGAAAGATTTAGGCCGTGTTTGGAATGAGTTATGTTCACCTGAAAAAAGCACACGGTCATCAAAATGGTAGAAAGTGCAATCTGACCATACAGTCCTTGGGATTTCTTGAAAAAATGACTCAATTTTGCAGTTTTTATCAATCCGCCTTATCCGCCAAATGAAACAGCCACCAAATTAAAGCAATTTACGTTACCTGTAGCTTGATTGTTCCAGGGATCAATAATTCACATGACTCCATATAAAATCAATACTAATATTTTCTGATGAGTTCTCTTTAGTCAATGTAAGCAGTGTCATTAGGCTACTCTCTATGAGAAATCATTTTATTTTGAGATCTACAACATTAACAGTATTTATTGTATTATTTCAGTTGCCACGTCAGACCTGATTATCATCATCACTCTTGTCATCCTCGTGATCATCATTTTCTTCATTCTGCCCATCGACTTCTTGCTGTGGGTGAAGCGCACCAAGGGCACCTTACAGTGGAAGCGTGAGGAGAAGGCAGAGCGCATAGAGCGCGCTGAACGTTTAGGACCCCGTCCTGGCATGTACACAGCCAGGTTTCTACTCCATAAAATGAATTCAAGGGACCAGATAGATCTGATGGAGAGTATGCGTGATTCACCAAGTTACAGTAGAATGGCTGCACATATGTTGTTCAATGAAGAAAACTATGAAATACCCAAGATTGTTACAGGACATGTGGAGGTTAACAACTCTGCCATTGTTAATTACATGAAAGGGCTAAAGAAAGGGGAGGACAAAAACAGTACTGTTAGTATGTCAGAACACGGGGACATAATGCCTGAAATTGAAGGCCCTATTGAATCAAGACCATCCTCATCAACCTTCGTCATATCAGATAGAATTTGAACTTATGACGCAACTATTGCAATCTATGACATTCAAAATTTACTGGCTGTAAATTGCAATAGAATATGGTGAATATATGGAGTTTAGCCCAGCTGCACCTGCAATACAGCATACATAAGAGTTATGACCTATATGATTGTCCGTCCTATCAATTGACCATTTTAGATACAAATTCAATTATTCTGTTTTGGATACTGTTGCTATACATTTCACTCACATGGTATGACATCACTTTGAAATAAGATATGGTCATGAGACAAAACAGCTGGAAACAGCTTAAACAGTATTGTATGAACTATTGCAGAGATTTACCATGGAGCCTTTAATGTGTAATTCAAAATAGCAACATTGTATGAGGACAAAACGGATATGTACATATACAATACAAAGCCAATATAATTTGGCGCCGTTTCGGCATTGAAAAAATTCGGCACTGTTCCGGCACCGAAACCTTTCAGCACCAAAATTTGTTACCGGACTAGTCAGTCCATTTGGTGCCGAAATGGCACCGAAATTTGGCACCGAAATGGCGTCGAGAATCAGATTGCTTTTTATTTCCTGTAGTCCCATGTATGACATGTGCCAATCTGAGAGAAAGGAATATGACAGTGATATCACAAATAATATTATCGTATGATCTGTAAAATGAAGCCCTCTGATTGGTCAGTTCTTGTGCTGTACCAATCTGTATTGCTACTGAGGTTGTCCCCGTTGATCATCTCTGTCGCAATACAGAAAATATTGGTACGGAGGGGACAATCTCAGTAGCAATACAGAGGATCACACGATAAAAATGTTATTGAATGGTTTGAAGTGCAATACAGGATATATATTCTGTCTAGATATTCTGTATTGGCACTCGACTTCGTCTCGTTCCAATACAAAATTTCTGAAACAGAATATATCCTGTATTGCACTTCAAATCATTCAATAACTTATAATATTGCTTGTTACAGGATCTCATCATATGGTATGTGCAATTTATTAATTGAGAGTTGCTGGTGTTCAGCATGGAATCATATCAACTGGGCAAATGAAGAGAGGACACAATCCCAAAGTTCCAATTTTGCTCATAATCCTTGCCAGAGACAGTGAATTCAAAGAACTTGAGTGACGGGATATGGGTGTCTGCAGCACTGCATTTTGTAGAACACTGTACATTTCACATTTGTTTGCTGCGCAGTATACTCAAAATGCTGCATAGTATACTTCAAGATTCACCAGAATGTGGAGTGGATTATAACATACAGGGGGCGATCCATATATTCTGATAAAAATGCTCTCATTTGTCTGTTTTTTCACATATCCATCTCATATTTTCAGAAAATGGAGCATTTTTATCAGAATATATGGATCGACAATGTAATAAATATTCTTTATTTTCTATTTACCAAACACTGGCATGATGTGGAAAGTTTTAACAATATGTATTTCAGATTAATTGCAAGTATTGCATATTTAGGGTTTTTATGATGGTTCATCATTTGCTAGTCATTTACCAGTTGTATTTTATAAGCATGAACAGTGATTATCAATTGATCTTTCATGACATGTAATCCAGTTTTGACCAATCATACAACCCCAAGCTTAACATTGATATAATTTAGCTACACATTTTTAATTCTGTAAAGGTGAATTGTACTGTATATCTTTCATGGAGTCTGAAGCGCTAGTGTAATAGCATAGTTTAAAAGTCATATAAATACTACACTTCTTATTTCCTAGTCACATGTAGGACATGTACCAATCTGAAAGGAATATGACAGTGATATCGCAAATTATAATATTGCTTTTGAGACAGGATCTCATCATTTTTTTCGGGACATCAGATTTGTAACAGAAAAGAAAACATTTGCAGAAGCCTTAAACAGTAAATTGAAAGTTTTGTTAATATGATGAAATAACAGCAGTATCAACTCAATCCATTATTCATAAAATATTATGTAATGGATGCGGAAATTGTGCTGGCTGTAATTCATCCTATCTGTTTACATGCAGGTTCAAGATCTGAATAATTTCTGCTTCTTATTGATTTTCCTTTTGTTTCAATGCATTGCACTCTTATAGAAATCCATGTTATTACTTTTACACAAATATAGATAAATATTATATTCTTTGAAATAAAACTTACTGTTTTATGTTTAAGTGTTACACAATATTTACTTAAATTACTTATTACTTTAATCTGATTAAGCTTTTACCAGATGTTACACGATGTGTAGTTTTACAGTATTGGGCGGCAATCTTAAAATCCAGCATACATTGTAAATGGTTTTCAATATACATCATCTTGTTACAGACTGTCATATTGAGTTTATTGAAAAGGCGCTGATAGACTTCTGCGTTGTCATCTCAGTCTACAGACGAAGTAATGATGGTGCTTTGATTTCAATTCAGCATGAAGCCTTGACAGATGGTGCCCCCCTAGGATGGGCCCAGAAAAAAGAGGATTTTTTGGTCCCAAATATTTTTGAGGCCCCAATTAGTGGGGCTTTTTGAGCATTATGGGCCTTGTTACCCTTATTTTTTAAGTTAAGCCAAATTATCAAGAAAATGGGCTTTAAAGGATTGGTATCAATATGGTGAACTAACAGTGCATTTAACAATGTTTTTATCTTAAACCAATTATTGAAAACATTCTGTAAAAAACGTGGTCCTTTATGTAATGTTGACTGATTGACAACAATTTAATGCGAAAATAATTAATATATATTTTATAGAACTGTTTTTGTTAACATTTTTTGTTTTTTAGTGGAATTGTTTTTTGTTCCTTTTTACCAATTCTTGAGAATGAAATAAAATATCTTTCTGGTTGGAACAAAATAGCATATACAACATTTTCTTAGACCTCACAACATTATAGTTATACAAAGGAAATTTTGGTTGATTTAAGAAAACATATTCAAAAAAATTAAAAACAAAAAAACCCAAAATAGATAAAAATTAAGAAAACCCTTTTATTTCATTAACAAGATACTTTTCCAAAATCAATACTGAGAGACAATATTACAATATTTAGAGATGTCGTGTTTATGTCATTTTGTTCCAATTAGGTTTAGATAGATGTTTCATTTCATTTCAGAACATTATGATACCAAGAACAAAAGAAGTGTCTGATGTGTTTTCTAAAACAATATAGAGAAAAGTGTATATGTTTATTTCAAATTATATTGTTACCATTCAAAAGATGTCCATTAAATTGACAACGTGGAAAAATTTCAGAATTTTTTGATGACTGGTTTAAGAGTAACATGTGTTCATCATATCGATACCCATCCTTTACAAAATATGGGCCCAATTTTTGGCTTTAGGTGCCCAATTTTTTTTCTGTGTTGAAATTCAACTCCCCTTGTTTCAGATCCACCCCCATGAATATTGCAAACCTTTTCTCAGTTCTGAATTGAAACATCAATGTTTCACATTACTGAATCATTTACTTTTAAGGTGGAATAAATTCTCAGGTTGACTCGCATAAATGAGTACTTCAGGCACCTTATTTCACATTCATCAAAACTAACTTATGAGTTTGTTAGTTATATAACAAACACAAGAAACCTGTCAAATGCACCTTCTCCGCCATGCTTTCAGACAGGTTCATTGTTATTTATTTGTTTTCTTTTATCCAATGATTATTGTGTCCTTTCTATAATAACAGCCAATTATTTTAGAATTGATATAATAGAGATCTATGTTCCTCAATGGTTCATCAGCCACAAATGCATAGGCGTAGCCAGGGGGGGGGGGGTGCAATGAGTGGCTGGCTACACCCCTGAAATGCCTATGATTAACAAATCGAATTTCACGAGGAGATTTTTTTTGAAAGTAGGTCAGATAATTTGTGTTATTGAATATGAAAACATAAGTATTCATTTGTAATAATATTGGAATAAAGCCAAGATCAAATACTTCTTTGTGATATTATTTGATAGACATGTACTTGTAGATATCAATCAACATCTTTTTTTTCCTCACTTGTGTTGATATTTGATATTAATGATACAATGATATCACTCAAAATATTTTGTTCTATATACTGTACTGTATGTAAGTAGTCTGCTGTACTGTAGTTGCTTTCACTGGATATTGTCCTATGAACTAATGCTTGTGCCACACCCATCAAAATGCCAATGTCTGAATGTTTAGAACATGAACAGTCATCTTACAGTCTTATTATGTCACCACCAGTTGATGGTTGTTGGTTGGTGGTTGGCGGTTTGTGAATTCTTACAACTTCCAATATCTTAACAAATACTGTTTAGACTGACTTCAATTTTTCAAAATCATTTACAAGTCATCAGAAATTCAATTCTGATTTAAGATCTGACCTTCAATCACCTTCTCAAGGTCAAAAAAGGTCAAAAAGGTATTTTTCTCAACTTGCTTCAAATTGACCAAATATTTTTTTCAAAATCATCTACGAGTTCTCAGAAGTTCAAATCTTTTTTCAACTTGCATCAAATTGACCAATTTTTTTTCAAAATTATCTACAACTTCTCAGAAATTCAAATCTGACTTAGGATTGAAGTCAAAATATTGTGAGCAACTTGGTGGTGATATTTTGATATGTTAATGCCTTGTGTGTTTCTATTATCGTCACAACCACCACCATAAGTGTTGACATATTGTTTTTGCAAATAGTGGTTGGTGTTTGGCATTTGGTGGTGGTTGGCATCTTTAATAAATGGCAGTGACATTTTGCGTGTTGATGCCTTGTAATAATTTATTCTATATATTATGTTATAGGCACAATAGTTCATATGAAAAAATTAACAAGGTTAAATAACACAATTGTATACTTTTTGTATTATTTTATTTTAAACATGGTCAAGTCAGATATTTTGTGATGACAGAACCCCTGTATATAAAATATTTTAATGTTGTCATTGAAAAATGTGACCTTCCGCACTCTACTTTCATCAGCATCTTGTGTTTCACATATTCATAGTAGTTTTAATCTTTTTCTAATGAATTTTTGTCAAATCATATTTTAAAAACAAATATTGCAGAAAAGAAAATATTTTATAGCAAAATAGTTGTCCATTAGTGTTGCGAGAATAATTGTTTGACAATAATATGATAACATCATTGGAATTTCAAATTTTGTTGAAGCAATTGATTTTTTTGAATATCCATATTTTTGTTATTCTTTTCTGTGCTTTCACAGATGCCTGTTTTCTGAGTTATGATTTAAAAGTATGATGTTGTTTGAATTTCACTTCAGAATTTAACAACAACTCCAAAATGAAGGTATGTATTTTTTATCAATGACTAAACTTAATTTAAACCAAATACATTTAAGATATACAACTGAACACTTACTAGAAAACCTAAAAATGAAATATATTCCTAAGCATGTTTCCCCTGATCAGGATTCTTGTGATTTTAACATGTATGTTATAAAGTAATTTGGAATTAACATTTCAATATGTTTGAAGTTTTAAACTTTTCAACAATTGAGTTTAAAGGAAAAAGGTTTGTCCAATTTTTTACTTCTAATCAATTAATATCTAGCTGCTTAGATCCAAAGTGACTTTATTCATTATTACATACAACAATACTCAATAATACTCCGCCTACAAATACTGTTCTGTTTTCACAGCATTGAATTACCAAACAGAAGTTATTTTATTGCTAATTTGCACTACATGATTCAATAAAATATAAGTTTTTATTACTAAACATTTAAACTGCCAAAATATGCCTAGTTTCATAATGACTGCATGAGTCCAAATGGATTCTCAATCCTAAGCATCCGTTTCTTTAATTATTGACCTGGGACACATTATTGTCTTCCCTTGATTCCATTAAACTCACATTACTAGATGCCCCTTGGAATAAATACATGTTTGTCATTAAGGATGGACAAACTTGCATTCATAGAAAAACCTAGACAATTGATGGTTTATGTCACCACCCCAAGTGATAACATTATGTTATGGTCTCCAACTTTTTTATGGATCGTGTTTGGCAGTTGGTGTTCAGCATTCACCACTTAGAGTTCAGGGCTCATCGTTCAATGTTTGAAACAAATGGCAGGTGGTGACATTTTGCATGATAATGCACATGTTAACAAGATATTTTGATTTCAGATGAAGGGGCCGAAGCTCCTCGGAGTTGTGACATTTTTAACATTTATGGTTGCAACTACGGGCCAAACACAAGGTAGATTTAATTTGTATGTAACTTTGAGAAATCACAAAGGGCAACATTTTATAAACACAAATCTATGAAAATCATTAGGAATTATTTAAAATCAAAGAGCCCTTGGGCAGTTGACAATATTATTCCCCTGAACGGAATACATGTTGTCTCAGTCCAATCAAGATATCCTAGAAATATTTGAATATTTACAATGTTTATAATTGTAGAATGTGGTATGTATGATATATTGTAGAATATAGAATGAACCTTTCATGATGTTAATTGTAGAATGTAAGCATCCGTTTCTTTAATTATTGACCTGGGACACATTATTGTTATTTATAATTGTAGAATGTGGTATGTATGATATATTGTAGAATATAGAATGAACCTTTCATGATGTTAATTGTAGAATGTAAATTAGATCTTTCATGATGTTTATCTTGTATAAAATGAACTGTTTCATGATATTAATTGCAGAATCTTGTTGAACCTTCATTTTTTTATTGTAGAATGTGATATAAACTTGTGCACTATGATGTGCATTTTAGAAAAAATGAAGCTTTTATGATGTTTATTCTAGATTGTGGTTTTAATTTTTTAAAATAAAGTTTTACATGTGTATCATCAGGGGTTTCACTAGAATTTCTCACAACAGGCTAAATAAATG